TTCCACATCAAAATCTAATCTATTAGTCGTAGACGAAAAAGTTCGAGTCTATTAAAACCAAAAATATTCCCAAACGAAACATAGTAGCTGAGCGTTATTACAGAAAAATGGCGTCGCTCAAAAGAATACAGTCCCTGATTACGAGACACTCGATTTGTTGTCGATTTAGTTTCGAAGAAAATTTTACAGTTAAATTAATAATAAACTACCACAAATCCCCAAAAATTATATTTATTTATAAAACGCACAGTCCAACTATTATTACTAGCCCATGAATGACCATGCATTCTAATAATAGAAATGGGTTAATTTACAAGAAGTAATAATGCTTCTATCAGCTCTCATGTAAAGTAAATGCCTCGTTTAAACTGTGTCAGACTAATTATTATACTAAATTTTAAACAATCAGGCACGTTATACGTGCAATCAATGTCGGCATTGAACGCACGGATAGGCACGTGTTTCATCGTTCTACGAATTAACCCTGCCACGATCTTTAGGTCTGTTTCAACCAAAACTATTTCAGTTTCTACGACCCTACACACTTCTTCGACTTACTCTTAATCTCGTTTCTTTAGAAATGTCCTTATTTTTACGAAACATATAAGGAATGTGTTACTGATCTGCATGTTTCATCTTCCTCGTCATTATACCCGAATGTATATGCTCGACTTAGGACCGAAGCAGGGTTAATTCGCCAATGGAGTATAGTCGAAGATCGCGAAAAACGAACGATCAACCCTTTTCACTCCACAGCGCAACTACAGCAACATAAATCACCATAAAATCGATTTCTTATCGATTCATTACGAACTAAACTAACGAATAACATTTCAATTACAACCACTTAAAACTCTTTATTGGACAAACGCTGAACTTATTCACTTCGTACACAATCGTTCTAGTCACTAGTCATTCGGAATGAAAAAATCACAATGTGAAAAGGGCTTTTAACCCTTCTGTAGGCAACCGGGTACCCATTTCTAAATTTCCTTTCACAATTTTGTATGTTGATATCTGAAACAGTACTTGGTATATTATAGGAAGAGAAAACTAGGAGTTTCGAAAGAGTATAAATGTAAAATTATCTATGTTTACTTACTCTGTTAGAATAGGGCTAGTAACAGTGAATATTTTGGTTGCCCACACAAGGGTTAAAAGTGTGTTCACCTCTCAGTCGTGTTCTCCGTCGTCCCGAGAACCGTTTATTGACGGTTTATTTTTTGGTGAACGATCGATCTATGCGGTTTCGCAATGTTCAGCCGCAACGTGATCGAGCGACGTTATCGTCGCCCGACAGTCACGGAATCAGTCGGCCTCCAAAGCCCACCGTCGTTCGAAGGCGATGTAGATCCATGGACGCGGGCTATACATTCTCGCACGGGCACGTAGGAAGGCAGGAAAGGTCACGGCTCTGACCCATTTCGACGTTTTATCGGAGCATAACGCGAGCAAAGTTCGTCTTCTCGCGGTTGGCGCTCGCGAGCTCCCGCCGTAGGAGATTACGTTCGTGCGACTTCCGTTTTTCTTTCCTCGCCTCAGATTTCCCCGTCGATCACCGGCTTTCGCAACGATCTTGTTTATTTTCTCCGACTACAACGCTGAAATTCGAGAACCGGAACCCCGTGTCGTTTGACGATCCTTCCATCGGACCGCAGAGAAGGTTCATTGGCATCGAACCACCGAAGGATTAATGGACTCGATTTTACGTTATAGCTTTAAGTTTGTCAGTGATTTCTTAGTTAATTGAAAAGTTCCGAAGAAGAGCAGTATTCTCTTCCTAGGACCTTGAAGACGGGGTATACTGCTCGAAACAATTAGAGGATCGCTACTGGCTTGCCTTTCTATTCCTCTAGCCAATCTAAGGAAAAGAAACAAATGCTCATAAGTCTGATAAATTAACATTTTTTGCGTACGATATTAACAGCTAATTCCAAATATGTCACAAAACTTCCAAGAATTCTGCGTGGTATTGACAGGCATAGTAACTGAGAGATACAAGAATGAACATCCTACGTACCAGAAATTAACAGAAAAATCATGATAGACACGGTGTACTGTGGTTTTTATACGGCATAAGTGCCCATAGGTCAACACCTAGCTTCGATTCCCTAAATAAAATTTACAGGAATTCTGTTTGGTATCGACAGACACACCGTGACCGCGATACATGATCCTCTAATACTTTCGAGCAGGGTAACATCTAAGTAACTAGAGATTAACGGAAAAATCACAGCAGCTACCGTCGACATAGGCACATTTGTCCCCGAAAAACGGTACCACTTGTTACCAGGAACCATATCTTCTACGGAAGGAATAAATACGAAGGCGAAAACATGATCGAGCGATTCCCCCCATCGTGGTCGCTGCAAGAGTCTTCGACGTCGTAGTGACTCACGGCAGAAATTTTATCCTGGCCGGCGATTTGCCAAACGTCCAAACGTCGCTATCTCTTAAATGTTGCTTCCGTTCGTTCGATTCCTCGTGGCTTCTCAACCTCTTCCCCTTCGTTGGGGACGTTGTTGGTAAAATTCATTTAGCCGTGGGTAACCATGAGATGTGTTTCCAGCTCGAAAAGCTTTCGTACCGATTCTTCGTCACGAGATGAGTACGCGTGGACCACTGTGTTTGTGTGTATTTCTTTTGGCTCTGGAAAGGTGAACACGGCGCATTTTCGCAGTGTTTTCCACAATGTGCCCATTGGTCGACTAATTTCGTCAGACGCGATACATCGGCGGAATCGCTGGATAACTCCGAGATTAAGCGAAATTGTTTCTCGCGCGATCCTCTTCCGAGAATCGAATCGCGTCGGGACGGACACACTGGGATTTCGTTGATTGGCCGGGTTGGATAGACGCGCGAAGAGAACTGAACGCGCTCGCCTTAAATTGAATAGTTAGCGAAGTTTGTTCTGGGGATGAATTAGGCTGTTACATGATTGTTAGAGTTTGTGGGATTGGGCTCCGAGTAGACTTTCTTGGGATACCGAACAATGGATAGGTATACCTACTCTCAACGCACTGATTGGCCGAATGATCTGTGAACGAGCGATGCAGTTTTCGATTTTAGTGAGAATTTTAACCGTTACCGATTATGTCAACTTTTACTTAGAATATCAACTTTAATGAGATTATCCATTTTTTCTGAGACCTGCAACTTTTGCTGAGTTTTTCCACTTTTGCCGAGACTGTCAACTTTTACAGAAAATGTTAACTTTTACCGAGAAACTTTTGGTGCAAATGTTAACTTTTACTGCGAGGTGTTGATTGTTAACCTTTTCAACGCTAAAATGTCAGATGACATGCGTGTATTATACGCGTACTTGTTGCGACACAGTGTGCACTGGCCTATAATGATTTTTCTCTTTTAATGTTGTTTTCACTTTTGAATTGTTTAATTTTAACCTTTAATAACTTTGCATAATATGGGCTTGTAGCGCGCACTGAATGGTTGCATGCGGCATATAAATGGGTTCGCAACGCGTGGTGAAAAATTTTTCTAAACATATACGTACCTTATGGGTTCATTGCGCTGAAAAGGGTAACCATGGATGCGAGAATAGTAGAATACTATACAGAAATTGATATTGTTACGAGGTTTGAGAGGATCATTTTATATTTTGTTCAATGCTGACTAAAGATTCAACTTTAACTTTTTTTTTTCACGAAGCTGCTTTCGAATTTATTCTTCCACTAAATTGTATTATCAGATTGTATATTATTGTTTCCTTTGGAATAGTTTATCCGATGCAAGGAACACGTTGATTCGAAGTAATAGTGAGTTCTGAAGTTGTTGCATTCTTGGTCAGGTATTTTTCTTCTCGTTTACTTCGCGAAGAAGAGCTCGGCCTCTTCGCAATTGTATATTTACGAACGTCGGACCGAACGACGTGTGGAGTGTGGTAGTGGTTCTGCCTTCAATTGGGCTCCTTCACGAAGATATTCGCATCCCACGTTTCACGTTGATCAGACCTGAAAGCGTGTTACAAAAAGCACTTCCTTCGATATAACGCAAATTTCGCTGTCCGAAGCTTTTTAAATTCTTTCACGATGATACTAGAAAGTTTACCGTTGAAACGAAAAACGCAAACATTTTCACTGAAAATCAACGAAAGAAAATGTCAAGTGAGAACTCTACACGTTCGTATTGAAATGTAACAGTTGTAAGTTAGGTCTGTGCGCATTGTGGTACAAAGTAAACGATTTATAAATGATCGTGTTCATAGCTCTTTTCGAATGTTGAAATATCAGTGAATTTACCAGCGAATAAAATTAACGAACTGTTTACTAAAATATGGGTATATAAAACATTCTCTGTAAACATTTAATTTTTGTAAACATCGTTCAACGTATTCCAGTAACTTACAGCCCCATTAAGTCCAAATAGATCTATCGAATAAATTTGTGAATTTGAAATATCCAAACAAATGTTCCTTCGTTCTCTTTATCAAGGTTAGCTCACCCTTAAATACTAATCCATACTCCCGTTAAAAATAAAACCTACATCACCCACAGGTGCGCCAACAGGTAATTAAAACAGAATTTATGAGCTCGCGTCTGCCGCGTACCACCGCGAAATTATACCGCCGGGTATAATATCTTCTGCCCAAAAAGCATTAAACCCAATGGGTGTAAAGGGTTCGTCTATGTAGCCCCCGCTATCTCACCGTGACAGAAAACTTGTGATTTTTGTACCCCTCCGAATAGGTATACCCCCTTAACCTTGCAATCCTCCTCGCCATAAGAATCTCTCCGAATGATATCACGAGAGACAAAAACCACCCCCGATCCAAGCTTGTCATCGTTCATCCCTAAACAGAGGCGGCGGAACCGCGAGTGCATGCACACGCGGGTACACAAAACCACACGGCCCTGTTATCACTACACACACTAACACAATTGATAGCCAGTTGGAGTGGTAGACAGGAGGGTAGGGGAGGGGGAAAAAAGAGGGGTAGACGGAGGCGACAAATAACGATGCACGTGCGGCTCGTGTTTCAGGTTGCAGCGAGGACGAGGCAGCAGGTGTCGTGAACGCGGAGGTGGGCGGAGGTTGCGCGGCCGGGGCGCCAACCACAGGAAGTACCGCTGGAGGTGGTAGCGGGCCAGGTAGCGACGCCAGTGGTGGTGGTGGTGGCGGCGGTGGCGGCGATGGAGCGGGAACAGGAGCAGGAGGCGGTGGCCACGGGGGTGGCGGCGAGGGCGGTTCGACGAAGCAGGGTGGCGAGAGGTGTCCCCAGTGCGGGATCCTCTGTCGGGACGTCCACGTCCTTCAGCTCCATCTCGAGGACACGCACAAGACCACCTACGCCATCGACAAGAACGATCTCAACGCTCAATTCCCCCAAGTGGTGAGTGAAACTAACGTCAAGGACAGGGAGGACTCCATTGTTCCCCGGTGTATTATCGATCATGCGCGGCACTGGCCCACCTAACCCAACCCTCTCTCACTCCTATTTACCTTTCTTCCTCCTTTCAGCCTCCCCCATCCCCCTGCTCTGGGTTCTTCTCTTTCTTTCGTCCTTTTTTTATTTCAGATGTTTCGGACTTGGTTTAGGGTATTATGGGGTATACGCAGGTCGTCAGGGGTGTTGAAATTACGCCGCGAATTTTGTGGAACCTTGTATAGAGATAGTACAGTGTCTGGATGGTGTCTTGCGAAATTTTGGATTTGAGCTTCATACTCGTCGAGAACGATATTCATTGAAACGGTAGCTTGTTACTTGCCGTGTTTAAAGGAGAATTAACCCCTTGCGACGAGCTTCCGTACGTTGCATGGACGATTATTTCTTTGTATTGTCGACCGAGTTCTTAACTGTTCTAATTCCAATTTTTCGAAAAAATTTAGTTAATCAAAATCTAGGACTCATTGGTCGAAAGAATACCAATTCACCATAGTATAAAGAAAATTGAACTGAGAAAATAACAAATATGTATTTAAGCCCTAAACTTAAAGTTATGTAAATCCTAACTCACGAGGGTCAGGATAGAAGTTGTTACGTCATTTAAGTTTACTTGGTGGTTCATTATCGTAATTTACTGTTGAAATTGAAAGGATCTTTTTAAATAGGTTCTTGGCGGTTCTCCGTTGGCTCGAAAAAGCTTATTAACTCCCTGCTTTACGATTTTGTTTACGACCCTGTTCGCCCCGAGCTACTTTATTGTTAGCAATTTTCCAGACGGAAAAGGAATTCCACGTTCGTTGTAAGTGTACATTTATTCTGAAAAGTTAAATATTAAAATCAACAGAACAGTGCTTTATTCTGACTCGACAAAAGTGGATAATATTTATGTTTATGAAAATACAGATTGAAAAACCGTCACCATGAGCCTGTCTCGGTGTTACAAGGCAAGGGATTAATAACCTGCCGTAAGTAAAATCTTCATGAAACCATCGATGGAGTAAGCATTTGATGGAATATAAATGTTCGATCGCCCATTCATTCAGAACCGGACATTTCTTTCGACAAACATTCTTCATTATAATATTCGAAACGGAGATGCTATTAATGTTAGATTACTTAATCATTGTCTTAATTGACTTAAAAGTGAAATGAAGACATTAAACTCGATGGAGGTATTTAAGTCTGCATCACATGAACCATCTTTCACATATATCATTGTTTACATACATGTTTATTTTAATTCCACGACGTTGAATCTTCATCGAGCCGTGTGTAAAACGTCATTTGCTCCTGCCCGCGTTTTCCAGTCACAATGCACGAAACAGAGTTGCTTCTCTGATGGCAAAAGCGGGGACGATCGTTCTTCAGTTTCACTTTGAAATTCCAGCGTTCTTTTGTTACTTTATGTAGTTCACGGCTACGCCGGAGCCCACGTGGGCCGTGCACACGGAGGGGGCTCTGAATAAAGAGTGTGCAGGCACTACGGTTCGCGTTTTTCCGTGCGGTGTAAAGTGTGCTTTTTTAGAACGAAACATCCCCGGGGGAACAAAGGCATTTCGCGCGCTGCTGTCCCGATCGACCGCAAATGGAACAAGAAAATCCCCCCCCCCCCCCCCCCCGACCGCGAATCTTTTTTTCACGTTTCGATCGCGAATTCAACAAAACAAGAAAAATACCATCGGAATTAACCGAAGAATATATCAGGTGTACCCAGTAAGTGGTCCACTATCTTTGTTTTTTTTTGGGGGGAAATTTTGTATTTGTTTTGAAACGATTCAGAACCCTGTGGCTATCTCAACGGCATTCGTTATTTGGTTTCCATCGTTCTCCGTTAGTTTCACTACATTGGTAAAGGACATTTCGATTTGTATTTGCACGAAGAATATACATGTTGCGGACTGTCTCATTTTTTTGAGACACCCTGTATATCCCGCACTTTTTCTGATGGAAAATATGCGAGTTAAACGCGACACGTGTGAGCAAGGACGTTTCTAAGATGCAGTAAACTAGCCTACATTAAACGAATGTCTACTGTATATTAGAACTATCTATAGTGGATTACGTTTTGGTACACCTAATATTAACATGTTAACCACGGAGATCCTACTTCGGCTGATTTTCCGTTCACAATCTATTATTTGATCTTATATTTGTATTTAACGACGGTCATCAATGACCGACTAGGCGATGAATCATGTTCATCATGTATGGCATAGGTATATATGTTTCAGATAATATTTCGGTGAATAATATATTTATCGCTAATAGTGGCCGGATATGACGGCCAATGAATGTGGTTGAAGATTCAATGAATTTATTGTTTCAGTCGTGCAAGGTGTGCAGCAAGACCTTTGCAAACGTCTACCGACTCCAGAGGCACATGATCAGCCATGATGAGAGTGCCGTGCTTCGTAAGTTTAAGTGTCCCCATTGCGAGAAAGCCTTCAAGTTTAAGCATCACCTCAAGGTACTACGAGTGCACCCTTATTTTTCATTTCTCATTCGTTACATCGTTTCATTTCCGTTTCGGTTGGTGTCCCTTTCAATGATCTCTCTCTTTCTCTCTCTTTCACGCAGCACCGCCTGATTCAATTACATAGTTTGTCTCCTGTAGTCGCATCGAGAACGACTTGTTTCGAATAGTTGTTTACGTTCCCTTTTGTTTCCATTCTGGAAAATACACGCTGGCGGCTAAACACGTTTGGTATCACTCGCTTCCAGTTTCCAATAAAATTATCACGTTCCGTCCGAATTCAAATTTACATTTTTGACGATCGTTATAGTAACTTTCGCCTTCTTGATTTTCTTCTTCGTTTACCTGTGATTAATTAAATTTGCTGTAAAATATCCTGTTGGAACACCAGAGTGAATCCAAACTTTTGGCCGGCTGTTTAGTAACTGCTAAGGTTGTTGCACGCGAAAATCAGCAAGCTATTTTGTATATAAAGTTTAAGTTGATTGTATTACATGTTTTATGTTTTTGTCGTTCGCTGTGTGATTTCGAAGGTCCAACGACAGGTTTAAATTGATAGTTTCGAAAGTTCACTTCTCGTGTCGTTGCCTTTCGTTGAAGAGTTCAGCAATACTTGGCAGAGATGATGATGCAATTATAAGGTCCCACAGAGCGCGTTTATAGAAAGGGAACGCTGCATCGTAGAGCAGCATCACGCTTCAGTTTATTCGTAATTTCATTCGATGTTTCGAAAACAAAAAACGTTTAAAACTGTATATCAATAAACGTATAAAATTCTTCGCTTTACGTGCAACAACCTATCGGAATGCATCGATTGATACACCTGCACCGAATGAGATTGATATATCCGTTTTATTTAGTTCTTACACGTTTTGTTAGACTTTAGGTACGTTCTCACATACCGTTGTCGTTCATCAGTTTAGAGCACCTTTTTAGACTTTACAAATTTTCCTTACTAAACTATATTCCGAATACGATCGCAATATTCATTCTAAGCCATGATACATACAGTAGTGCATAATAAAATGTTTGTAAAACGCCATTTTCTAACGAAACAGAAACTCTGTAAGCCAAGATACATACCAGTACTAATCCTTTTAGCCTTCTAATATTTCATGATCTCTAATCAAATTGATTTTATTGAATTTTTGTCAAATTTTCATCAATGTCATGTACGATACTTTCTATAAAACAACGCAGATTCATTTATGTAAAGAGTAAAGGGTGCCCGAAACTTTCGAACAGCAGTATACATTGGACGGGTCGATTTGCCTTATTTGTCGTTTTTAACATCGTCCGTTTCGTTTGTTCGAATTCTGTAGGAACACCTCCGCATCCACAGCGGTGAAAAGCCATTCCAATGCAATAACTGCGGCAAACGTTTCTCTCACTCGGGCTCGTACTCGAGCCACATGACCTCGAAGAAGTGTTTGATCGTGAACCTGAAGAAATCGCGGCACACGAACGTGACCAGCGTCGATCGAAGCCCGAAAAAAGCGCAACAACCAACGCCGCCTGGACGACGCGAGGCCGATCTGCTCGCGGCGAACAATAACACGTTTCTTCCGATTCTCCCGAAACTTTCGCCCTCGGATTATCAGGAAATACAACGGGAAGGAGCGGGTGAGAACCGATAAAATATGTCTGTGCATACGGAGAAATAGATTTTCATTTGTGACCGTTAAAATCGGTACTCGGAACGATTTCGTTCGACTTCAACTTCGTAAAATTTTACAGCCTATTATTCACGCCTAGTCTATTTCATGAGAAAGATCGTGAAAGTATTTTCGTAGAGTTCATAAACTGATTCTTGCCCCTTGAATGAAATTTGAAAACGAAAACGCTTAGTCGAACACGTGTAAAAAAAGTTCCACAGAACCAGTCGGAAATGTGTAAGAATCTCGATTTACCTGTAGCACGCGGTCTGTCATTTAAGATCCAACAGATTTGCATCGGAGAACGTAATTCCGTTTCAGGTATTTACGATATGCCGACCCTTCTGCCTCAAATGATGGGGTTCCGCAACTACTTTCTCCAAACGTCCCTGAGCAAGATCCTAAATCAGCTGCATCCGACGAGGAATTTGGACGAAGTGGCCGCGAAATTCGCGCCCCATCGGGAGCTTATGAGCCCATCGACGGCGGATTCCGAAGGCACGGAGGGTACGGAGGGCAAGGAATCCCCAGCGCCAACTGATCAGGTCTCGGATCGACTTCAGGGTCTGGACGCGGTTCGACTGATCCTGGAAACGGTGAACACCTCGGTGACAAAGCAGCTGCTGGAGGCGAACGTACGGAAGCTATCTACTTCACCGGCCACGATGAAGCGGGAGTTCGACGAGGATTATCAAGTAAGGCGTCGTTCTATTAAACGGATTTCCTCCATTCCCTGATGCGGAGGTTGATAAATCTATTTTAACAATATTCCTTTATTTTTTCCCATCGTCCCCATTTTGACTAAACAGGAAAGGTTAGAAAGATATTCTTATTGTACATTTAGAATTGTTTATTGTACATTTGACACATCAGCTGGAAGTATTCTTGGAAACAGGTGCTCCCAATTTCTTCATTTTCATCCCGTCGAAATTACATAAGCAACTTTCGCATCGTTTTAACTTTACCTTGATTTTAAAGAATGAAAGAAAAGGAGATGAAGACCTGCATAGGGATTGGATTAACGATCGCCATCGTGAAGAACATGGTGTTATTAGCTCACGCGTCTTTCCTTTAATGACAGTGTATCCGTCATAGTGTATTCTTCTTCGTGTTTTTAAATATTTCTGGAGCAACCCTTGTAAAGCCAATAAGCGTGCGACTTCACGAAACTGTTCTATAATTGTGCAGGATCAAGATAGTGAAATGTCTAGCGAGATGGCCCACTATCCGGACTGGTCAGCGACGGATCAATATGATTCCCAGAGCGAAGGTTTAGCGGCGAAGCTCGAGGACGTAAATCAACCGAGCGCGAAATCAGGCTGCAAGAGGAAAGCCGAAGACAGCTCGGAAGTGGACTCCGAGGACGAGGAGGACTCGACGCAGACACACAACGACAACGGTAGAAGGGTGAGGGCTAGGTCGTTGATAGACGACGAGCAATTGGCTGTCTTGAAGGGGTACTACGCCATCAATCCACGGCCCAAGAAGGAGGAGATCATCATGATTGCGAATTACATCAATTTTCCCACTCGTGTCGTGCAGGTATATTTTTCAGCATGCTTGCGGACCACTGTTGTGTCCAATAGAAATTTTTAAGCTGCCTGCTCCATCTTGATTCTAGTTACTTTACCTTTGTGAAACTTCTTCGCCTATACCTCTGTTAATTACCTGGAGTCCCTATCCATTAATTCTTCCACATTCTACATTAGTTACTTTGTTACACCTTCATCACTTCCCCCACTCTATCCATATTACTTTCCTTACTCTTCCTACACTAGTTCCCCTACTCCGTCTTCATTAAATCACCCACTCTGCCTACCATTCTTCTCCCACTTTGTTTCTAGTATCGCCCCCACTATGTTTTAAGCAGTACTCCCACTCTGATTCGATTCAATGCCACGTTTCTGTAAAAGATTGATGATTATTTTATTAATTTTTCTTCTTATGGCTTCAGTTGCAGTAACACTCTAAAATCCTATTTCGATTTTTGTTTATGCCGAAATGAAGGTTACAACGCGCAATTGTCCTACAAGCTGTTGCTGCGATTCACAAAAATAATCGAGTTAAACAGAAACTGGTTCAAGGATTATTCCCATTATCATTACTGCATACATTCTAGCGTCTAGAAACACTCCTCATTCCACCTTCACTAGTTCCCCCTCCTCGCTTTCCATAGCAAATGAAACGTAACAACACAACCTATAGAGAGTATATAGACGCGTAAATCACACGTAGACAGCGGTACAAACGTCACAGGAAATGGGAGAGCGATTGTTCTAACAGAAATTTCCAATTCAGGTTTGGTTCCAAAATTCTCGGGCGAGGGATCGACGGGAATCGAAGATACCAGCTCTGGTGCCGTTAGCCAATCCAGCCAGTCAAACCGTCATCGAGCAACCGCTCGATCTCTCGAAAAAGGAAGCGCTCACGCAGTCACCGTGCAAGGAGAACGACACCAGCTGGACGAAAACCGCGATCTCTTCCCCCGGCGAGCCGAAGAACGAAAATCCGCCGCCGCATAATCAAGATACGGACGACCTGGAGGACTCGCCTCTGGTTATAGACGAAGAGACCACCACCGATTCCGTGGAAACGAAACGCACAGCGCCACCGCCTTCGGTAGAAACCGTTCCAAAGGTAACGAACTCGAACCAGTTTGCTAAAAAATGATCTATCTATTCTTCGTGCTGCCTCGGCATCATTATAACACGCGACGTATCGCTGCATTTGAGCAGACTCAGCCTCAGGCAAACACAAAGAACGAAAGCGAGAACGCGAGTCAACCGGAGGCTCCGCCAGCAGCTGAGGTCGAGCAGGGTGTCTTCTTCTGTGATCGGTGCGACAAGACATTCTCTAAGCACAGTTCCCTAGCGAGACACAAATACGAACATTCCGGTACGTATTTCAGATGTTGGATGCTTTAGTATGCGTCCATTTAATCCAGAATGTAATCTATTTATTTCCTACCATGAATATAAAGTTGATTGTAACATAAGGTGACTAGACGTCCTGGATTAGGCGGGACAGTCCCAGAAGTTTAGACCTGACCTTGGGTTTGGATGTCTCGCGGCGTTCAGACTTTGGATATCTTTCAATTTCTCGTGCTCATAGAAATTCAAACCCGTTCGGCCCATCCTCTAGTCAATTCGCTATCGCGTCCGATGCGATGAAAGAGCTACATTTTTAAACCATAAAAGTAGGTTTCTCGCGGAGCTGACTGTATTTAGAGACAAGCGAACTGCCAGTTGTTTTCTGTACAGTGTCCCAACATCCATCTCCCAAGGGGTTCGAGCTTTTTCGAAGCGTAGCGAATCCAACCATTTACCCATCGATCAAACGATCGTGGCGCAGAGAACGTAAATAATAAAAGATCATACGTATTCCCGCAGGGCAAAGGCCGTACAAATGCATGGAGTGCACAAGGGCGTTCAAGCACAAGCATCATCTGACCGAACACAAGCGACTGCACAGCGGCGAAAAGCCCTTCCAGTGCCGCAAGTGCCTAAAGCGCTTCTCTCACTCCGGCTCCTACAGCCAGCACATGAATCATCGTTACTCTTACTGCAAGCCGTATAGAGAATAGAGATATTTCCGCTAGTTGAAGGCGAAAGAAGACGAAGAAGAAGAAGACTCGTGGGCTTAAGTTAAGTATGTGACGGTCCTATTTCACTTCCAATATACAGGACTCGGCATTTAAGTTCCAAAAAGGGATAAAGAAAAATATGTATACCTCGCGTTCCACGCGCGGGAAACACGGTACGGGGAGGGGAGGGGGGAGGGGGGGAAGGAGATCTAGGAGGCACGATCGTCACGCGGCGGAAATCACGGAAACAGAGAGATCACGATCCCGGAATATAAATACGTGAGAGAGAAAGAGAGAGATTCAGTCGCGCGTTCGTATCGTGGACTGCGTGAAACGCAGAGCGATGAATTAGCCGAAGCCTAAAATTATATATTTCGCTGGTTTGCACGAAACTGAAGGGATTAAGGGACGTATCAGCGACTGCGATATAATCTCTCGAAAGTGTGAACCGGGATGAAAGTGATCCGTGTCGGTTCCTCGAGAGGATCGGGGAGGATTGGCTTCGTGCTCAGGCGGCCATCGTCCGAGCGTCTTCGTCCGATGGAAGTTCGTTCTCGCGCTGAAATTGTATAAGAATCACGCAAACACGAGGTAGCGAAATGAATCCACGGCGAAACCCCTCTCGAATCGACCGAGTATAAAACCAAACAATACGCAACGGTACCAAAAATGCATAATGCAATAATCTATTATATATATATATAATATACATAATATTTTAGTATTTTTATTAACAAGATTATTATATATACCATGACAATAATAAGGAAACTAATTAACGTACAAATTTGTTAGCCACGTTCGCAAACGGGGCACGCGATATTCACTCGCGACGCGCGCAAAAAAAAAACATGGCGAAGGGATGACCGGGAGCCCGTTGGGAGAGGGAGAGAGAGAGAGAGTGAGAGAGAGAAAGGAAATCGGGCGTGTGCGATCGATATGATAGATAATTTCGATGGAGAAGGAAACGTGTTACCTTTTAAGACGCAAGACTATACTTTGCAAAATATTTTTTCCGCAAATTTACTCTCGACAATTGACCTTGGTTGATAAGAAACTAAATGGAAATGAAGGAGAATCGTTAGACTGCGGATTTTATGTATCCCACAGCACACACGCGCGCACACACGCACACGAGTAGTCGATACACGATAAAACAAAAATTTCCTGCAAGAATATTGATGTTTCGTGAAATTTTTTTATTCTAATTTAACGAGTCAATGAACGAAGGAAAGAAATCGTTATTCGATTCTTGTGTTTTGTACCATTGATATCATGAATATTTGAATTTGCATAAACATCCGCAGTCTAATCAAGGACAAAGAACTCGCATTTTTCCAGAAGTCGATCGATACTTTTAATAGGTTCCTTCAGTCGGAAGCTCAGTTTCGTTACTTTTTAATACGGAATCCGTTACGAGGAAGAAATTTACGGTCATTGAAGACATAATAGATCGAGATTAGTACCGAGAGCACGCGTGCAGTTAGATACGAAGAATATCACGTGAGATAATTGAAGCAACCAAACGGAGGAATGCGTCTGAATTTGAACCGCTAACCGAGAGCTTAAATACAATTTCCAAAGAACATCTGAGAACGAAAAAAAGAAAATAAAACAAGGAAACTAAATAGAATCTCTAGATGTTCAGCCGTTTCTCGTGGCAAGGAGCGTGGTTTTTGGCTCGATCCGCATGAGAATCGGCTGGCATCCACGCTTATACAGTTAGCGACGTGGTGTTTTCTGGGCCTTACTTTGTCGGTGATCGATGCCATACGAGTATCTTTCGATCATTGTGTACTTACTTCGAATTTCCGAGTCGACGTATCGTCGGCGTTCCTACATTGCAGCGCGTGATACGTGAGAGATTCCAAACCATTCATTCAGACTATAATTGATCGATAAAGCATCCAAAGGTCCGATCTACTAATCGGAACCAAATAAATCGAGACGTTTCGTGGTCGTAACTTTATTCTCGTTAAGAGTCTCCTTTAAGACAGTTTGTTTTTCCACTCAATTTTCCAAATAACTGTACTGTTCTATGTATTTTATCAAAGTGGTACACGAAGACTCTAAAGTAATCACTTGCTCCCAATGTCTTTTTTTACCATTTGTTTTACTAGAAAGCAAAGCTGGGAGAATTCATTGTCTAGATCAGAAGAGAATTTTAATTACAAAACAGCACGTTTCATTTTTAACATGCTTCACCGGCGAACTTTTGCAGTAACTGAAATTACTTGATTTACGTTTCGAGGAATTTTTGGTACAACATTCCCTGAAGGTCTCTATCTAAGATAGTACCTGCAGCAATCAAAGAAATGACTGTCTCGTCGAATTGTATCGATTGATTCAAATTGCGGGGCTCGTAACAAAATTGACCCTTGTCAGTTTTGTTTTCGATGAGGATCGAAAAAAATACTGTGGCATCTTTAAGGATGATAAGAATCGATCCATTCTTTTTTCAGAATAAATCAGGAACATAGGTAGTTTGTGATAGTATAGGTCCCACTATGTTAAGCGAGTCTCCCTTCTGACTATTAGAATCTGTTTTCACAAAAACCAAAACATTTGACAATGGTCGTTTGTTTTTATTGCGAGCCCTTCAGTTGTGTCGAATTTTACCAAAGTGTAACGAAACAATTAATTTCTTGCAAAAAACTGAAAGGAAGCATATAAAAATTTACATTAAAGCCGAGTCTCCACGTATCATCGTGTACAAAGAGAGAGCAAGAGAAAAAGAGCGAGAGTGAGAGAGATATAGAGAGAAAGAGTGACGCGTCCTAGAGAGAAAAAAAGTTTGCCTTAGACATTCCGCGAGAAAATCGATTCGTGTCGACGCTATCCGTGCCCCCCATTTATTTATCCGTTTAGAAGAGTCACAACGGCCTCTGGTACTTTCCGTCGGGTTGGCCGGGTCCGTCGTGACCCCGTCGAGACTTCCGGCGCGCGAAAGTGGGAGGGAATGGCATCGAGAACCTCGCAATAAACACAATGAAACCAAAAACGAAGGAAAACGAAAACAAATACCGACACCAAAAAAAAAAACAACCTAGGAACAAGAATAATCCCTTCACCGAGATCCGGGCCCCGATCGTAAACTCTAAGTATAATATTAAATGCTTCCAATACTTGTACTATTAAACGAAAAGGAAAAAAAAGCAACAAAAAATGAAATTATTACGACATTTTTATGATTTTATTCGTTCGGACGCGTAGGTAAGCGGTAAACACACAACACAGCACACACATACACACATTATATATATGATATATATATATATATTAATCTACAGATCGATAATACTCGAGAATGTATTTTATAACGGTTTATGCCTCTTTTTATTTACACGTACCACGAGTGACAAGTGATATATATATATACATATATTATATGATATTATATATATTGTTATCGATAAAAGATTGACGAGTAAAAGTAAAAAAATGATAAACGACGACTTATAAAACACGGGGGGGGGGGGGGTGGGGGTGGGGAGATTATTATAATACGCGCGCACGGCGTAACTGGCGTGCGCGCCCCGCGTAAATGCGTTAAAATGGCGGCAGAGCGTAGTTTGTGTCGTGGGTGTTCGGCCGTTGGCGGAACGGCGGTCCACCGTTTTTTGCATTTTTCCTCCGCGCGCGTCTAAGAAGCTCCGGTTATCCGCGACAGGCATCGTGTCCGTACTACGTGTAAAACGAGAGAACGAGATTAAAAGAGAAGAAAAAAAATGAGAATAATGAAACTCCAGATATGATGCTTAATAATACTCATTTATTATAGTGTTAATAGTTAAGAAATATATTTTTATATTACTATAATATTACGACACGATATAATAGTACTAATCGATATCGCCGCTGGGACCCGTGGACCCGCGACGAGTCTGTTCCTCGGCTGGTACAGATATAATTACGGGAGGGGAATCGAAATATTCTTCTTTGATTTTCCTAGTTTTTGTTTTTCTTTTTTTTTGTTCGGGAAACTCGATTGTGACCAGACAACACAACGTTCCTGTGCAATCGCTTCGTCTACATCGCCGTCGTTTCTCCACTCATTTTATTCTTCTCTTTTCACCTTTCATTTTCTTTCTCTTTCGTTGTTTGTTTTTTTTTTGTATATTGTTATTATCGGACTGCGGATGTTACGTGCGAATCCCGATTTCCATGATCGAAATTAACCATTCGAATGTTTTGCGAAATTAAAAGTGTGTATGTATCGTGCTTTTATTGTATAAAAATTATTACACAAAACCGAAAATCGAGCAAATATCCGGTGTTAACAATTAACGGGGTCGTTTAGTAGTTGTTTCATCGAGATTTACAAATGTACTGTAAATTAGAACTTCTAATTTAGAAGTGCATAAAATCCGCAGTCTAGTCATTATTTACGTGTACGGATCGTTTTTCTTTTTGGTAATTTCCGTTACTGTTTAAATCCGTCTTCAACGATTTTTCGAAACAGCCACACTCACGTTTAGGATTCAGACTACCGTGTACCAAAGTTTTCGTTTCCGGTTGAAGAATAAAGCCCTCGATTCTGTGCTTTCGAATACTTTCACGACCAACGGGTTTTTTAGGACATCAGGAAGGAAAAAAGCAGGAAACTCTACGAAGACAATATTACATACGTATAAGCGACTAAACGAAGGATAAAATGGAAAAAAGTATATATATATATATATAAATATGAATATATGACTATAAATATATTAAAGATAGAGATATTTGCTCTGATTCGGGAGTAATCCGCAAAAACCTGCTCGCCTCGATGTATGTATGTACGTAATTACATGAATAACGCACGACTACAAGCGTATAAAAGAGAAAAAAAAATGAAGTCATCATCGCCAGCTTTCGCGCCATCGGCATCGGTTACGTCTCCGTTACTTCCTAACACTATTGCACGAGAAGCGTAAAGGGAACTAAAAATAACTAAATAGGTTAAATGGACACGTAAACAGAAACGGAAAAAGGGGATAACAAAAGTTGAACCAACGTGACAGCGAGTAGAGAGAGAGAGAGAGAGAGAGAGAGAGAGAGAGAGAGAGAGAGAGAGAGAGAAGTACGAAGCGGGGGAACAAAAAAATTGTTAATGATTGTTGATGCAACGATTTAGGGTGGGGGAGAAAAAAAAACTAATAATGAGCACCGTACGATGCCTTCCGTGAACGACCGAGCTTGCCTAGTTAAACCGAGATAATAAAATAGAACAAAAACAAATTCGATGATTCGATCTCGAAGATGAATTCTCTCGTCGAAAGTAAACATTACCCCCCGCGATGCTACTCGAGCAACTAAATTCATCCCCTCTCCCCCTCCCTTCTCCTCCGTAACTGACAATAATAGTCGAACGGTCGAAACGAACGGTACAGAGACAAGAGTCATTCCAACACCGGTAGCCATATTGGAAAGTACATATACGCGGACCGAGGACTCCCAGTGTAAGCCTACAGAATCGCGATTTTTTTTTGTCTATCCCGTCTCTCCGTAGCACGCGGGGGTGATCACGTTCGCTTTAAAAAAAGAAAAGAAGAAAAAACGAAAGAAAAAAAACTGTGACTCGACGAACACTGGTGGTTATGCCGTCGAGCTTTCCATGACTAAAAAGAAACGTTACATAAGCACCCGGGAACTCGTGCGTGTGTGCGTGTAAGAAGCAGAGCGTGTTTTGCGTGTATAAGTAAATCTTGCGTGGTGATGTGCGCGAGGAATCAAATACTCGGAGAGAAAAAAAAAACTTACGGCAGGACAATAATGAATACCGTTTCTTTTAAAGGATTATAGAGCGTAAGCATTATACAATAGTCTATATACGTGGGTAAGTGTGAAAGAAACGAGCGCGTACCCCCGGTATACGCCCGTCTCGCGGGCACGCGTGCGCCATTGTTCGATCACGCGTCAAAGGTAGATCTCGTCGGACGGCAACAATGACGCGACTCCAATTTTGTCATCGTCTCCACGCACCATTGGTCTGTTTTGCACCGAGGAGAGGCGGAAAATTACAGTGAAATTCTGTGTCTTCTCTAATAAGCCCGAGCATAAAGCATACTCTTCTAATCGATTTTTCCCTCTTGTTTCGTAGAGTTGATGGACAAGATACGAAGAACACTAAAACCAGACATGTATCGATGTGGAAAAAGCTCACGTGGTATCTCATTTTATGAAAGAACATTGGTTTTTACAGCGAAGCTAATGGCAACTAAGTTTGAGTTCCTACAGGCCTCGGTGACCCCCAGGATATGACCGTCTGAAATTCCTGTGGGAACGGTAGCTTCTACATGTGCTTGTCTGCAATAAACTAATTGAATGCTTACGATGTATCTTGTCCATGAACTATATATACTTTCGGTGAAAGATATTGTGTGATCGTTAAATAGATTGAAAGGAATAGATGTTCATGTGGCGGGGACTGCGACAATAGAAATGACAGAAATATGGGGTATGTGCAGCATCTAATGTTTACTTCCAATTGGATCGTTTGTGGGTTTCAGTTCATCACATCTATGACTATTTGCACTGTAAAAAAATAATTCCAGTACTGTAATTACTAATTAGAATTTGTAGCTTTTCTACTGGCGAAACAGTTACCAGTGTAGTATTCCATTTTTATGATCGACAGGGAAAGAAACGACCCTTAAATCGTATCCAGTGTTTTCTACAATCGCGTTGTATAGAAGTTGTATAGTGATTATACGAAGGTAATTTTGTAATTATTTTTTCCAACTGTTTACCGTACGATCACACTATATATTTCTACTAGGACTAAATCATCGTATCTTCAGATGACTAAAAATTTTATCAACCTACTTTCTTTTTTAACCGAATAAGTGAAATAAATTTCAAAATATGCAACATCCCTGCAAAAGTCACAAGGCTTTGTTGCCGCAGAGTCTATCTTTAGCGTTAACGAACAATACAGGGCACGACGTGTGTGTAAATAGGTAATACAACTCATAAGGTTACATTTAGTCGCCAGGAATAGCGATGCGGATGTTATTGTGACGGCGAAGCGTAATATGCGATAGATATTCGAGAGAGGAATAAAGAACGGTGGTGGATGGAGGGGGCGGGATGAAAACCGGAAGTTTCTGGCTGCGTAGTGGATGCAGTGCCTTCTCCGAGTGAAAATGATCTCGCGAAAGGAAGTTGTAAAGCTCATGAGATCATTAGCGCTCTGGTGGCCGCGTGAAATTTAAAAAAATGAAATCGCTCTATTTCGGACTATTCTGTTAATCGATCTTTTTCTTTTTACCGATCATTCCCAATTTTTGCAATCTTTTGTCCTGTGATAACACTGGTAATTTAATGGTTAATTATTTAACATGTGTATTTCCGTAAATTGTAAATAACGTTCACTATTCGGGGAAGGAACGAGTTCCTCTAATTCGAATCATCGATTAATATTGTAAAAAATAAAATAATTCTAGTAATATTAACGATCCATTTGAAAATTTGATCGTTGAGAAATGGGCATTCGATGTAGATGAAAAAGGAAAAAAAATGTAGAAGTATAATATATATATATATACATATATAGTTATATGTATATTGGAGAGTCGGAAGGATCGAATAACTGCACGCACTGCGCGGGCTCTAACTTCCGCAGCACGAATAAGTGAATTCGCGGCTCGTATACATATAACCGCCGGCCGTGTGTGGGGCTGTTCCACTGCGGAAAGAAGCAGAAGAAAAGGAAGGAAATTTAAAATAATTGTATTGTGACGAAGTTCCATCCATAATAAATAAATGAAAATATTATACAGTTAGGCCGACTTTTCCGCCAGTTCGTGCCTTTTTTCTGCAGGGAGAGAGAGCGAGAGAGAGAGAGAGAAAGAGAGAGTGCAGTTTTGGGATCGATCTGAGTGTATGTATATGTAACCCGCCTATTTGGTAGAAAGGTGAGCGAGAGCGAAACAGAACGGTGAACAAAGTTTAGGGTAGCCGACTTCGAGAGACGCGGTGCGACGGATAATATTAACAGGCGGACGGAAGGAAAAGATCGAGAGTAGTCGATTGTTCGAACAGATCGGGGCGGTTACATTCGAATATACGGATATGTCGTGTAATTGCATATTCTTGGACACGTTATGTTCACGCTGATTCTATCGGACGACAAGAATACACAACCGATGCGATTGAAACGATAGGAAGACGAGGTGCGAGGTAAACTGTAAGCAGATCAGCCGAGTGACAGAATAATGAAAGAATGCGGTGAGAACGTGTGAAAGAGAACGAGAGGGAATAAAAGAATGCTTGTATGAGTGAAAGAATGAACGGGAGACAGAAAGAGAGTGAAAGTGAGAGAGAGAGAATTCTAGCAATTGTTGAACGTTCATTAAATTGTCCTCGTTTCACGATGTAATAAAGGCTATTTTACTTTGACAACAATGTTCATTCCTTTGCTCTGAATATTCCTTTCTGATTAAAAATAGGTGCCTCATTCATATTAATAGTAATAATACTTTAATGATAATTTATTCAGCAAATGAAATAAAAATCCCTTTTGTATTCTTGAAATGTCGCCACGCGTATATGTGTAATGCTGCAGTCATCTAGCGGTGACATGTAGAAACTAAATCTATCCCTGATAATTTGCCACCCGTTGTACATCCCTACCAAGCATAATAATTACGTATTTGTTTAATATAAAATATTACTCATAACTGTTTATTTTCAAAGGCAAGACAGTGTAGAAAAAGTAATAGTATAAAGTTCTTGAAATTCGATTGAAATTGTTTTTTATTTAATAAACTTTACATGTTGCTTAATGCAATCATTGTTTCAATTAAATAACAAATTTAAATTTCTCCGTTCTCTTATTACATACTATACATGGACGAATAAAATAGTTTCCATTTAAGATTAGTATTAACTTTACAAAGCGAGTTTCAGACACTGTATATCTACAGCATCTCCTTTATACCTATTCAGTTGACTCAACAGATGCAATTTGGGTTGTTCACAGTGAGTTGTGTGCAATTCGTATGCACTGCATATATTTAATAGTATAGGCTCTTGCAAACTCTTTACAGGATTCTTTGTAATTGCACTTTCATATAAATGCACCGCATCTTTCAACTGTCCCATGTATAAAAGACAAACAGCCATATTATTAGTTGATGCAATATTCGAAGGCTCCAATGCGGCTGCCGCTTCGAAGCATTTGTATGCTTCTTCAAACATGTTATATGCTACAGCCATTAATCCTCTATCCATCCACTCTCTAACAGTTAACTCACTGTCTCGCTTGTGTCCTTTGGTAAGTAGTTTTTCTGCAGCTGAAACGTCTCCCAAAAACAGGTGCAGCCTTCCAATGCTGGATTGCAATGTATCTAATTGTTCAAGGGACCAGACTGGAGAATCGCATAGTTTTTCTAAAATATTTATAGCCAGCACATAATTCTTCATGGTAACTGCACAGTTAGTGATAGATATTAGGACCCTAGATCTCCTGCCTTTCCACAATCGTACAGCATCCTCTTGCTCTACTGCACTGACTGTAACACGAGATCCGTCTCCACTGAACCCAGCATTAAAATTTGCTATAATCTGATTCACAGTAGCTAAAACTTTATATAAATTATCTAATGCTTGCTTTGGTTTGCCACAATACAATGGTATTTCTGCTAAAAGTAATCTAAAGGAAAAGGAGGCCATAGAACCTGGCCTGGTACCATATAAATCAGGATAAAATGTAAAGTACATATCAGGCTTATCTAGGTTACCAAATGGTTTTGCTTCATTCTCCAAAATGTCTATTTGTCTGAGTTTTGTCAATAAAGCTAGCCTTGTGTACCATAATTGCAGAGAATGTGGAGTGTGTTTGCTAGGTTGATTTATCTTGCCATAACCCTGAGCATACACTGCTAAAAGTTTTCCTGACAAATTTATCGCTGCTTTGTAACAGCCAGCTTGTATTAAGTTTCTTAAGCCACGCTCATCTTGCGTTACATCTGAAGCAGTAAGTACATTTCTGTGAATATTCTCATCTTCTCCTAGCAAGTGAATTGCAGTACTCTTTATTAAATCAGGCATTTCACCCTGCACTGCCAGCCCTGGCATTGTTAGGTTCTCTCTATCAAGAGAACTAGTCCCAGTGGTTGATGTGGCAATACTACGTAAAACTTTCCGTGTTTGCTCAGATGGAATCCACACATCCCTGTGTGTATCATTAATCGCACTGTGATCGAGTCGCTCGTTGTCAAGCAATGTATTGCTTTTTAAGAACTCGGTCGAACGGTCGGCCATTAGTTCGAAATCCGGAATTCTGCTCCCAGAACCTCTTTGCATTGCGAAAAAATCATCTTTCTTAGACGGAACAATCTCATCAAAGATCGTGCGGGATGCACTTTCAAAATAACGACTGATATCGGCCTCCTTTTCTTTTGTAACCTCGTCAGTAGCTTCGGAAGTTCGTTTCATCGAAGATCCGTCTTTTTCAGCCATTCCAGTTTTTATACTAGAATACATTACTCTTTCCGTGATTAAAAATTATTTACATATATTTATATGGGCTTGAGAAATGCTATATAGCTTACATTAGATGAGATCTTAAACGTCAACTGTCAAAATCAGATGGAGACATTTTTGCCATGAAGTACTGCATCAGCGGACAAAATAGTTTTCCATCCTGCAATGACAATGAGAGTCATCGGCTGAAATGAGAATTCTGTTTTATGCTGCAAAATAGAAATATATGAATTACATATTTTTTTCAACGGTATCAAGTTGTCTATTGTAACCAATTGTAACCCTCCCAATCAATACTGTGCATTAACGATTTCGATTCAGTCATTTTAGTTAATATTGTGTGATCTTCGCCCTCATCTTGTAGCGACGTCTAGGGTAAGTTTCACAAGCGTGAAATTCAAATTGAAGTATCATATGATTATAATTAGACAAGGAGATGGAAGTGAAATTGGCGTAAATTAAAAGTAACTGAATCAGCTCTGTATTCTTTTAAAAGACATATTTCAATTAACTCATACTCCTTCTCCAAAGTATATTAAATCATGGAAAATATGTTAAACACTTAAAAATTAGGAAATCAATAGCTGAAGGAAATGTATTAACAAATCAGAAATTATTTCATAATGTAATAATTATTTTATTGGCTCCTGGTATATGTAAGGACATATTAACAAATTTAACAAAAACGATCGTTTTGTAAAGGACACCATTCCAGTATTGACCTTTGAATACTAAAGACGTGTCTTTTTGACAATCAAAGTTGTCAGAATTTCCTCACGAACAGAGCTCTTGAGTAGAGATGGCGTGCAAAATCACTAACGGTGATTTATTACAGTGATTGCCGAATCACGATCACGGTCGTGATTTAACTTCATTCACAACCGTGATTGCAGAAACTGCCATGGTTGCTGGGGTTACTATATAATTTGCTCACGGAAGCATGCACAAGTGTCAGTCAGATTTCGACAGTTGCACGAGCAACATTCGACCGAGCTCGAGAGTTGTACGAGCAACAGCAATAAAGAATCACGTTTCAAAACTCTTGCACATACTCCGGGGCTCTGTGACCCCACGCTCTGACCACACGGGGTCTCTGGCGCCACCTGCCGGGGTTCTGTGACCCCACGTTCTCACTACACGGGGTCCATGGCGCCTCCACCGGGGGCCCTGTGACCCCACGCTCTCACCACACGGGGGTCTCTAGCGTCACCTGCGGGGTTCTGTGACCCCACGCTCTCACCACACGGAGTCTCTGGCGCCACCTGCCGGGGCTCTGTGACCCCACGCTCTGACCACGCGTGGACCATGGCGCCTCCACCGGGGGTTCCATGACCCCACGCTCTCACCTCGCTTGGTCCATGGCGCCTCCACCGGGGGTTCTGTGACCCCACGCTCTCATCACATGGGGTCTCTGGCGCCTCCACCGGGGGTTCTATGACCCCACGCTCTCACCACAGGGAGTCTCTGGCGCCGTCACTGGGGATTCTTTTCTTATTATGTTAATCACGGTTAATTCTTAAGACACAACATCGATTTGAGAGAGTTTAATCCCAATTTGCATAGTTTTTCTATATTTTTCGTGCAATGCAAACTGTTCGCCTCTCAAGTGGCTATGTTATGCCTCTCGTTGGATGTAAGTTTATTTACATTTCTAAATTTTGTATAATACTTATACGGTATAAATCGAATGAAAACATTAGTATAATGGTAGAAGGATATATTTATTGTAATTTACTGAATATCAGATCATTTGATTGTAGTTGGAACATATAAAATTCAAGGGAGAGATACAATATATCAAGTGATTGATGAAAGCTTAAAAGCAGGTTTTCGTTCTATCGGTACGCAAATACTTTATCGAAGAATACACACTATAAAGTAGAGGATTCTAATATTTTATGATTTTATACAGACACAGCTGTAGTATATCGAAATGAACAAGACATTGGTTATGCTTTGAAAAGCCTATTACCCAAATACAATCTTCAGAGAAGTGATATTTTTATCACAACAAAACTCTGTATGTGTAACATATATAAATTAAATTTATATAGTATTAACGTAGACCCTATTAAAATATTGTATGTTTATGGTAGCACCAAGTGAAAATGGGAATCCAGAAGGAATAGAGCAATCTGTACAACAATCTCTTGAAGCACTCAATATTACATATATTGATTTGTATTTAATTCACTGGCCTGGTGCAAGTCGCATACCAGAAAGTTCTGGAAATAATTCAGATTTACGTGCAAAGACTTGGGATAAATTAGTAGACCTACAGAAGCAAGGATTAATAAGATCCATAGGGGTGTCTAATTATACTATATATCACTTAGAAGAGTTATTGAAAAATTGTAAGAGTATAATACCAGCTGTAAATCAAGTAAGACAACTGCCTCCATGTTTAGTTTATGTTGTACAATATAATAATAAGGTACATTTATGTAATGTAGGTTGAATGTCATCCACATTACCGACAAGAGGAGTTAATTAAATATTGCAATGAGAAAGACATACATATACAAGCATATTCTTCGTTAGGGAGTAGTAGTAATACTAATCTTCTAAGGGACCCAATCGTAACACAGATAGCTTCACACTTAAATGTGTCACCAGCACAATTACTATTAAAGTGGGCCTTGCAACAAGGAATTGGTAGGTATAGTAAGGAGGTACTTACCTGTGAAACATTTTTTAATATTTCATCTAACAGTCTGTAATCTTATACATAGAGAGGTGGGTTATTAGAAGTGGTATTACTTCACAGTGTTATTATGTTTAGGCATTATTCCAAAAGCAGTAAAAATGGAACATATAAGAGACAATATACAGTTAGACTTTCTTATTGACAAAGAGAGCATGAAAGCTCTATCTTCTCTACCACAAAACAAATACACTTGGGATCCTTCCAATGTGCACTAAATGAACTCTGAAATAATTTTATCTATTTATAAACATATTTGCCTTAGTAATACCAGTGGTTCCATTCCATACCATAATAGCATGGAAGATTTTGCAGATATAGTTGCAAAACTTTGTATAGAAAAATACATGAGGCTTAGTAAAAATGGTAAACCATCGGAGAAAGAATGGACTGTACTATCTGGTATAGTATTAAAGAAACACGATGATTCACTATCTTTAGTAGCTCTTGCAACTGGGACAAAGTGTTTGGGAGAACTGGATCTAATAAATACAGAAATGTACGAAGAAGGTTGTAGATTAAATGATTCTCATGCCGAGGTCCTAGCCAGACGTGCCTTTTTAAGATACTTGTATGAAGAGATTGATTTATTGTTCTGCAGTGCTAGGAGCAACATTTTCACTTTAAATGAAAAGAAACAAATTAGTCTACATAACGGAGTATCATTCCATTTTTTTACAAGTCAGACACCTTGCGGAGATTGTTCTATATTTCGAAAGGACGAATTTCATGAACATGATGCACCACCAAATAAAATTAAAAAATACGATTGCAATGATACTGGAGACGTAATTGTAGAATATAGTAAGAATAAACAAGAGGAACAAAACATCAAAGATATACATAGAACTGGTGCAAAATGTATTAAAACTGATAGGTACCAAGACTCTCATCTACCTGGAGTAAATTATCACGTGACTGGACCACTACGAACTAAACCAGGGAGAGGTAATCCTACTCTTAGCTTATCTTGTTCAGACAAAATGGCAAAGTAAGGAAAATTGCATAAAGTTATAGTTTTTTCTATACATAATGTTTGTACGTTTAACACGTAAATGCATCTTGTATTTGTATCAGGTGGAACATCCTTGGATTACAAGGTGCGCTTTTATCAATGTTAATACCGCCAATAAAAATGGAAACTGTCGTAGTTGGCGGTGGATGTCCTTTTTCATTAGAAGCGATGAACCGTGGATTGTACAAACGGTTTAATAAAAATATGTACAAATTAAAAGTCATGCAAGCTCAAGTATCCTTCAAACAACAAAAAAGTCATAACAAAAAACATCCATGTCCATCAAGTATCATATGGTCTGCTGTGAGACATCGGTAATTCTTATATAATTATCCGATCTATAATTAAAATTATAATTGGTATTAAAAAATTAAGGTATCCATAACAATTTCACAGTGATACCGAGGTAGCAGTTGAAGGTAGAAAACAAGGAGCTACTAAAAGAAAAAAAGGTAGCAATTTACGTATAACAAGGCGAGCTCTTTTTGAAGTGTTTTTAAAGACTTGCGATAAGTATCAACATTCTGACTGTAATATAAGACACCCGAAAAAGATTACTTATTTAGACTGCAAAAAATGGTCTAAGAGTTACCAAAATTTATGGAATACATTGAAATCGGAATCTTTTCATGCCTGGAATTCCAAACCAACCAGCCTACAAACGTTTGTATTATGAATCTTTGAATACTTTCAACATATTTTTTGTAAATAGTTTTTCAAAATGAAGAAACATACCTATTAATATTGTGACATTTAAAATATATGTAACAAAATATAAATATAATATTTTACAATGTTCGTTTGCTTATGTTCGTATAGCCCACACCGACACAAGTTAAGACAACTTGATCTAATACTTCATCTTCTTCTTTATGCGGTTCAATTTTGAAGACTATTCCGAAGAAATCTCTTAAATCACGTAAAAATTGTATCCTATAAAAATGGTAGTTATTTTTATGTGTATCACGATTTCGTAAATATTTCAGACCACCAAAGTAAATGATTACTTACGTCGCTGGCGTTAAAGGTCCTGTTACAACTTTGGAGACATCCTTTTTACCTAATGCCATAAAAATTGCGGTCATGCTTTGAAAGGGTGAATCAACGCATCCGTTTCTAAAATCGCAAAATTCGTATTACTGCAGTTTTCCTATAAAGTAAAATTATATCTGTCTTACCTGTAAATTTCATCGATTAATTTAATTGCTGCCTCTTTACCAATATCTTCTGGCACACAGGGTAAGGAACTTGTTGTCATGAGAGGTGAAAATGCTTCCCCTCCAAAAAGTACTTCACTGGTTGTTTCAGCTGATATGCTTAATCCAAAACCTGACACATTACTTAATACAGTAAGTACATATTATGTATGCACAAAAGAAGAATCTAATGACTATAAACGTATACCTGGTGATTTTCCGCTAGATGCTCCTTTGCAATGATCTGTATGAATGTAGACATCTGGTAGGAATTGCAATAAAACACCTTTAGCAGATTCTACAAGTCGATTAGCGATAGCAGGAGAAACGCGTATACTACATGCTGTGCCTCGTATCCGTTTCACCATTCCACTGTTCTGAAACTATAGACACTTTTCTAAGCAAAAAGATATATGGCAGAAGGGTGTATTCTATAGTTAACCCTCTCACTCCTGGCATAAGACACATGTGTATTCTTAGAAATACCATTGAAAGAAATTTAGCTTCAATTTCCATTTAAAAACTGGTATCACATATTGGCTGATAATGGCCAGAAAGATTGTTTACACATGAATCCAATTGGCCAAATATAGTACACAGGAATAAAAGAGTTAAAGCAGGAAAACTAACTTGGATAGTTTTGAGATTACGACTAGCAGGGCATTTAAAACGAATTTCTCCACCACCTAAGGGTGCTGCTCCTCTTTTAGTGATATTGAATATGATTTCGTTATCACCTGATAAAAATTTTTTCAGTAAAGGTATAGCAGTTGCTTTAAATCTGTCCACAGATGGATCTTAAAATAAAATGACATGATTATAATAATTATCTTTCAAGTTTATTAAACAAACTGTTTATTTACCTGTTGTATTATTAGTCACTCCTCTAAGTTTTATATCGACTGGTTTTTTACAGAATGGAGCTAATATCATAACACCTTCCAAGTAATAACCAATACCTCGTTGCAAGCTGCAATCATGCTCTAGATCACCACCATTTAATAAACCAGGATTATAGTATAGATTGGTTCCAGTTTCGTTTAATTCAATCCTTGATCCATTTGTAATTTTATCCAATAAACGTATGAAACTTACTTCATACTCTAATATAGAAGAATATAACAAGTTACAAGGTAACTACATGTATAGAATAATTTTAATAAAATATGGTAATTTATTTGACAATATAAAAAAATACTTCTAAAAAGATTTTTACAAAATTTACTTAATTATTATGTGTTTGAATTAACCTTTAAGTCCGGGATCATCATGCTTAATTCTTATGTCTTTTATTCGCACAGGTTTGCCTGAAAGTGTAGATAACAACAAACGATACCGTAAATAATTACAGCCTTCGTAAGTTAGTATCCTATTTTCCACTTTAGCCGGCATAGTTTCGTTAAATTCACAGTAATAAACAAACCAACATGTGAATAAGCATGGATCCTGACGTCACTTCTTAACCAACTGGTAAGTTAAAACTGAACGTTTAACTTGACAAAAATATAACGTATACGAATGTGTGAAATATGACAAACTAATATTTTCAGAAACAATTTAATAAATTACTTTCAACTCCATCAAATACTTAAGGGGAAAGGTCAAATTCTATTTAACCCCTGTGTGTACAAATTAATCGAAGAAAGCCTGATTTTGTATGAAGATCCTCAGCCTACCTAATGATTATAAAATTTAATATTCCGAAAGAATTTATGTTAATGACATCTTAACCAGTAATTGTGTGAATACTACAATATCAGAAAGCAAGATCAACATTAGTGTGCTGTATGCTATATATATATAGATATTACAATTAATGTTGATGTCATTGTATGTATAAAATGACATTACCAAGGAAGAGAATATTTGTTACTGTTGGTACAACTAATTTTGATGAATTAATTGAAACTGTTCTTAGTTCAGACATTTTAGAGGTAACAGGCTTATAGAGTTTTTCCTTCCATATTTTATTTTTAGTTTAGAACAATGTGGAAGATAGTGATTTTTCTGACATATGTTACCTTATAGTTAGGTATTTTAATATGTATACATAGACTATAATTTATATGCTTGCATAATTATTTTAGGCATTGTCATCAAAGGGATACAATGAGCTAATTTTGCAAATTGGCAAGAGTTCACTTGCACCAGATTGTATACCACGCAATGGTTTCATTAAAATAGAATACTTTAATTTAAATCCAAATATACTGAAGTATGTAAAAACTGCAGACTTAATCATAAGTCATGCAGGAGCAGGAAGCATTCTTGATGCTCTGGAGAACAAGAAAAATTTGATTGTAGTTGCAAATGAAAGTTTGATGCATAATCATCAACTGGAGTTAGCAGAGCAACTTTACATGGATAAATATTTATATTACAGTACCTGTTCAACATTGTTAAATGTTATCCAAAATATGGACTTCTCCAAATTGAAACCTTATGTTAACAATAACAGCGAATTTATTGCTAAATACATAAATCAAATAATGGGCGTTTCGAATGAGAAATGAAGTTTAAAAGATTCAAATGATATTACAATATAACCATGAGACATTTTATTTATTGCAGACAAAAACGTTGAACGAACAGTTGATATCATTTGATGTATTTCACATTTTAAATATGTTTTACAATATGAGTATATACTATAACATTTTCCATTAATTTTTATAACAGATATAGCTTTGATATAATTTACAATGGTAAGGATTGCTTAAAGGACCTTTTCTTAAAATTATGGCGTAATAGCATAGAAAAGTTTGTAATTTCAAGTTAAGAAGAATGATGACAGAATAATGGCAGTTAACATTCTCTTAAATATTTTACTCTAAATTATCTTTGGATAGTTTTTTCTATTACAATAAAAGCTATATCAATAAAAATATTTTATAAACAGTTTATAGTGCTAAAATAATATTCTTTAAAAAAAAAAAATGTCCATGTTTCTTCCTTTAAGTTTTATCTCCAAGAATGAAATAGTCAGGCAATTTTGTTCAGCAATGAGCACAGTCATTGTTTCGTAGTAAGCAAAAAGATTTGCCGATTTTACTGCATTATATTGTTTCATTTTTTAGATGATCGCAGAATTACTTATACTTTCAATTTATTTTATGAAGGTACATGCACATGAGGCACACTACGTATGTTTATATGGCATGTGTTTTCTTAATTACAGACCAAACCAAGACGCGTCATTTCTTTCAAGAGTTCATTTCCCATTTGTGCGGGACTCCTTGTTACTATTACACCAGCCTGTAAGAATGAAGTTCCATTAAGTAATGAAATAAATACAATAGACCGAACAAAATTTCGTATCTTTGATTCAATTCCTCGGAAGTAGATTCCAAATATCAAAGAAAACAAAACTATTGAAGATCAAAAAATATTTTGGTCGATACATTTTAATGAGACATTTAGCACATTTCAGTTTTTATTATGCATAAATTATAGTGGTACCTTTTCGAGTGCATTGATTTTATCTTGTGCGCCACCTTTTCCTCCCGAAATAATTGCACCAGCATGTCCCATTCGTCGTCCAGGTGGGGCAGTAATACCGGCAATGAATGAGACTACTGGTTTAGGTTTGGCACCCTGAAACAATATGAACTGTAGAATGTGTATCATCCGGAAATAATAATTCATACTTGTATAGGTTTAATAGGTTTTTGTGGAGTATTACTATTACAGGAAAAAAAAGCAATGGATTCTTAGGATAGGATGGGATTCAGGTACCAACAACTCAGAACAGCAACCAACAGTATTCTTTTCAATGAGATATTCCGCGGCCGATTCTTCTGCGCTTCCACCAATTTCACCAATCATTATAATACCATCGCAATCGGGATCCCTGAGGAATACATCTAAACAATCAATGAAGTCAGTCCCATTAAATGGATCTCCACCAATTCCAACACAGAGGGTTTGCCCAAGACCAGCCTAAAAATAACTTGTTCTTGTGTTATAGGTATTACATTTCACTGTAACATTAATGTTACATTAATTGTAAACAAATTTGTTTTGAAGACCAACTATTATTACTCACAAGGGTTGTCTGATTCACAGCCTCATATGTCAAAGTTCCAGACCTTGATACAATACCAACTTTTCCTTTTTGATGTATATGTCCTGGCATGATACCTATTTTACACTAAGATAGAGATATAGTAGAAAACAATTAGTAAATTGCATAGATACAGCCTTAATTGTGCGTGTACAGAATTTTACTATCAATTTAAAATATCAGCACCTGTTCTGGGGCTATTATTCCTGGACAGTTTGGCCCAATCAGACGAGATTTATTTTGCTCCAACAATCGCCTTTTGACTTTCACCATATCATGTTGTGGAATACCTTCTGTGATACACACAATAAGTGGCATTTCAGCATCTATTGCCTCCATAATAGCTGCTGCTGCAGCTGGTGGTGGTACATAAATGACTGTTGCAGTAGCACCAGTGGCTTCTTTTGCCTAAAATTGAATCCATATATTTATCATTATCTTGTATTTACATAGCAATGAAAATGTACACAGATTCCATTTACAAACCTCCTTCACAGTTTTAAAGACTGGCTTTCCAAGATGTTCTTGGCCAGCTTTTTTAGGACTAACACCCCCCACTAGTTTAGTGCCATAATCAATGGCTTGTTGACTATGAAATGTTCCTTGTTTACCAGTAAAACCTTGACATATAACCTTAGTATTGGAATCAATCTTTAAATTCTTCCTAGTCTCTGTGTAATTGAACCTAACTTGAGAACGTAATAAATTTCCACAATTCCTCACTGAAACAAATGAAAAATAATCTATTGTAAGAAAAATACAATCTTTTATTAAATACACTACTTCACATTGAAGTAATTTATTATTTTTTTTTGTTCATTCAAACATTTCATTCAAATTATCTTTCATTGAATATTAACAGTATGAAGCATATATTATTTTATGACAGAGATATATTTCGTACCAGTATTGTCTTAAGCCAGATGTTATTTATAGTGACAATATCAAATTTCTTTGCTTTTGGGTCAAGGTTCATTGACTAAACATCATCCAATGATGTCCAATTGATTGGTATGACATGTTGGTATGACAGATGTAAGAACCGATCGTGATACAGAAATAAATATGTACAGCATTATGCATAATACATTAACAGAAAGTAATACTGATAAAGAAAACCCAAATAATGTGGTTCAGTCAGGAAGTGGATAATGAAATATAAATTTATGAAATAAGATTTATATTAATGTACATATGAGTAAAGAGGACAGAAATTTCATACAAAATTATATAATAATTCACAGATTATTAAATTGGAGCCAGTACACGTTGATGAGCCAATTAATTAAAAAATATGCTTCCCTATAAAAATTGAGTTATGAAGAATTATATTTGTTCTTACATAATGAAGTGTTAGAATGAACGCGAGATGTCAAGGTATTTTTAGTTTCTAAAATAATAGCGGAAGTCACGCGTGTAGGACGTGAAAGTCTCGGTATTCCTTAAAGATCTGTTTAAACACATCGAAATATGAATGTTCTCGCTCAAATGTCGTAAGGCACAAATTTAAACTTCTGTGTCTTACCTGTGAATTTTGAAAATGTCCTGACTGCCACAGCCATATTTTTAATTGATATATCTGATAAAAATTATTAACGAAGAAAATTAAATTATCGATGAACCACCATTAAGAGAACTATCTTCTTGTGTGGGACTAAGGTGAAGGCGGTGAAGGCTGAGTCCGAAAGAAAATACGAAGTGCCGTAATCGCATGTAGTAGTTACTTCCACAAATTCGTTATGAACTTGTCAAATGACAGTAGCGTGGAATATGGAACTGATTGGTCGATCAGTTCTAGAATCTTTTCTCTTGGATCCGATTTTCAATGAACAGAATCATCATAGACAACTTAATAAGCTGATAAAAAAGTCCCTACGGGAATTCAGTTCAAATTCGAATTTTGAATATTCTAAAAGTTATTTGACTAGAAGGTTGTTAATTTCCACGTACAGTAATTTTTAGCATTGTTGTAAAACACTATAAATGAAAAACATATAAAGAATAACAAATGATGGAAAACGATATGAAATATCTTAAATGAAATTCGCACGCATTTTGGCAGCTTCATGGTAAGCATGATTAAGTCTTCTTTTCAATGATATTTTTTATAATTTTGGCCATTCAGTCATATAAATAACTTAAAAAAGAAAAAAACATTTTTTCACGTATGAAATCACAATTTATTTTTGCAATTTCCTACCAAGAACTAGGAACTATTCCATGCAGTAAGAATACAGTTTTCCTAGTGTTTCGACCAGTTTATTGGTAGAAATCTAGAGAAGTTTGTCTCCACATATATAGCAAAAATGTTCCGTGAATTCATTCATAATCTGTACATTTAAAATAAAAATATACAATATGAAACTTAAAATACTCCGACTGGGAAAGGAGTACTTAGAATAAATTTTGAGAAACTCGTATCATGGGTGAAATGTTAAATTTACGGTGAGGTGGTTGGAAACGAATGTATGATTGTTCTGTACCACGAAAAGGTAGCATGCTACATAATCAACGGAGACCACCTAAAATTGAGCGTAGTTAATGAAAGATACGATTGATGGTACCGTAGTTGCCAAATGTAGATTACCGAAAGAAAGTCTACGTAAATCCTTTTTCGATTTTATTGTTATTACTGACATAAGAATTTAATTATATCGAAATTTTTCTATGGATTGAACGTTCGTCGAAATTCCAAGTGATACGATTACTAGGCTAATATTGACGTATATAGATAGTACGACATAAATGACAGTGATGTACAGAAAATAAATATCTTGATAAAAATGACGTGGTGAAGTGAAGAGAGCCTTATCGTTTTATAAAACCGTCGAGGGAATTGCAAGGTACATATGTACACTTTCTTAACCCTTAATGCTCCTTTTGATACTGTATCAAGTATTCGCGAAAGAAATAGTTAAATCTACATGAAATATCAATTGTTTCGAACATACTTGTCGTGGAAAAGAATTAATTCTTCAAGACTAGGGATTGCAGTTAGTTGACTCACTCATGTGATAAAAAGAATCTTACTATATATTATTATATGTTACGTGATATAATACTGTAACTGATTTAAGAGATATTTTTTACGAAAATGTAAGCATAGAATATTTATTTTCATCATATTTGAATATTGTATTTCTGCAACAATTTGTTATTTTATTCTGATTATTTCCGTGTGACATCACAAAGGTCAATTATATATTTGCTTCTTTATAATATAATCAGTTGCATGGATGAGAACTCATTTATATATGATTATTAAGTAATGAAATGTTTGAAACAGAATGGATGAGAGTACAGGCTCAGAGAAAGTTTGGTGTAAGACTAAAGCAGAAGAACAAAATAGTTTATATCATGGAGAATCTGCAACACAGTCTATGGAAGCAAATTCCACTTCTTTAGCAGACATATTTGATACAGCATTTACATCTACGGTTGATCCTTCTCCTCAGCCAAGATTTAGTTCAGGTATAAATGAAACAATAGTTAAGTAAAGTATAATCTAAAGTTACTTATTAATGGCCTTATTGATTTCAGCTAATGAAATGGAATATGAACATTTATTTGCCGAAAGTGATATAGAAGAATCTGAAGTAACTCCTATTAATCCTTATGTAAATCCTCCACAACATTCTACTTCAGCCAGTAATTTTGTTTTTGGAAGTTATTTGACTGGGCCCGAAGCAACAGGGGATGCTCATCATTATTGGCAGCCTGACCACTTAAATTGTAACATGTGCCAAAATAGACAAGAGAGGAGTGCAAAACAACACGAATCTCATAGTCAACAATTAAGGAATATATATGGTGGGAGAGCTTGTGGAAATTACTGTAAGAGACTTTTACACGAGCGAGACCCACCAGTAAAACATAAAAGTAAAAAGTGTGAGGACCATAAGTCAATAAGTGACCAACAATCTGATAGTTTAAGTATAGCTGGCCCATCAAGATTATCAGATGGTGTTCCTAATAAGTATGTAGTATTGCTATGTCAGAATTAGGTTTTATTCAATAATTTTTGTGTCTGTTCATATTATTTTTCTTTCTAGCACAACTAGATCGACAATTAATGATGGAAATATTTTAAACAGAATTCCACAAAGTATTGAAAATGATAGTGCCAATGAATCCAACACATTGTACCATCATGTTTTGCCAAATACAATTAATTCTCAACACTGTCCTACTCGTATAACAAGTAAAATTATTGTTTTCTATTTAGATTGTGATTCGAATTTTTATACGTTATTAATGTATTATCGAAGTTGACAACAATTATTTCTTTGTCGACTAGGTAACGACGATGTGCCGCTAGCGCCAGACTTACAGTTAGATTGGTCCTCTAGCAGTGATGACGAAGATGGGTCAGTTGAAGTTCTTGGAACAGTGAACCACAATAATAAAGTAAGAAAATGCAATTACATCGACTCGGTCTACTATTTTATGTTAATTATTCAAAGTGAACTATTATTCGATTAGCAGAATTCTGTAGAAAATAACGAAGCAAATAATCGTCCAGTAACTGTGGTCGATTTAACTGTCGAGTCAGATGAAGAACACACTCCCTCTACGTCGACAACGCCTATAGTAAATCCTCGGCCAGCCGATTATGTACATAAGTACGCGATTCAATATTTTATTATGCATAGGTGTAACATATATTTTTGTATGAAGCGTTGAATGTAATAATTATTGTAGTGGGAACAATTCTTACTGCATGCATGGTCCACCAGTTATACCCGTAAGATACAGCCATATACCACGTAAGATATAAGTTTTCAAAGACCACGTATGCATCCTCTTCGGGAACAACTGTGGAGGATTCAACAAAACATACAAGAGATGCACAGGCATTATCTTTATGCAGGATCTACGACGCATGACACGTTAGTATCACGATTATAATTAAACAGTTCGCATTATGTAATAACTTTCGTATTTAGTAGCACAACCCCGTGCGGTCCACACATGCATCAACCGGTACACCAGCAACGTACATGCAATGGAAACGTTAATCCTGCGAATAGTCGTTGCAACGGTTCGGAAAATATAACGTACGCAGAAAATTATCTTCCAGACCTTCCACCTCTTCATCCTTTTTTACCTCCTGTTTTACTACCCTCGCAACGACCCACTGTTTACAATCACCCTGAAGGTAGATCTGCTCTGCAACGTGCAATGGTAATTTCATGCCTTGAAATGGTTCGATCGCCGAATCTTATCGATGGTAAAAGAATTGAATTGCATTTTGTAGGAAGTTGTTGAAATAGAACCAGTACCGCCTGTAATGCCGCCGATGCCCGTTCATCCGTTGTCTCATGCTGTTCGACCACGCCAGAGGTCAGAAGTATTCCAACGTTTGCAGCATGTTCATATTAGTCTTGGTCCTATGGTGGTACGTTCGTATGAATGATATTTTCCGAATTACACCGTTTTGTATTATTTTGTATTGTATACATGCATCTCCTAAACATACAGCAAGGGTCTGATCCGCATGATTTGCTGATGCCGTTAACACCTTTGATACCACCACTTCAACCTCAACCGCGTCTTGTAGATTACATGCGCCTTGTCAATTTACGTCGGATGAATCATATTAGTTGCGGAGCGACCCAGGAGTCGATTGAAAGGCATACATTCCCTCATAAGTACAAACGGGTAATGAGTTACGAGTATATGTGCACGCACAGAGGGCTGTTCCAAGATAGGTGACTTTAAAAAACAACGCTCAAACTATTAATTTTATAAAATAGCAACAGAAGATTTTTTATTATTGTATAATCGATTTTTATTCTTCTATCATAACTCGACATACGTTGTCTGGAGTATAGTTACTTTTATTAAACTAGAATTCCATTTATCTTGGAACACCTTGTATATTAGACTTCATTGAATTATTGTCTTATTTTTGGGTATTACATTTTTTTACAGGTTAAGAAAGTTGAAAACGGCGAAAGTGCTATTGAAAAATGTACTATATGTTTGTCTGAATTTGAAGACTGTGAATGTGTCAGGTATAAATTATTTTATGCACGTATACAAGAGGTTTCAGAATTGTTGCTAGAATTGAAACATATGGCGATACTATGCACAGAATAAGTTGAAGATGTGGAATAAGATTTGTTTGTCAAAAGGTTTTGTGTTGATATAAAATGACTATTTTTTCAGCTGTATTAGCAGTTCTGGAATATCTTGTGATTTAATATGTATTAATGTGAAGTAATTTATATTTAAGTGGTTATATGAAATCTATATGTTTCTTCATCTTTTTTGTACAGGAGGCTTCCATGTATGCATTTATTTCACATAGACTGTGTCGATCAGTGGTTGCGCACTAATAAGCGCTGTCCTATATGTCGAGTGGATATTGAAACTTTTCTACACAAGGAACTAGCCACCACTGCATAGTTTAAGGTCAATTTTACCCATCTATTTTCATTTTTAAGTACGATCAGGTAATATCCGCATTTTTTAAAACACTTCGAAGTATCCTAACCGTGGGTGAACCTTTCTCTGACACTACTATGAATATTAGTGTAAAAAAATCATACTGTGAATAATCAAAAATATCAATAACTGAACAGAACTAAGTTCCTGGAGTTGTAGGTGAGGTTTGTTTTGATTTAACATTATTTTATCCTTGCATCCGTTTCGTGGATATTAAGAATATTGTACATAAGAAACGTTAGATTTGTTCATTGTGCGTTATTGTACTATTGACATTTGTATTTCTTTTTTCTGACGATTTATCGTGTATATAGTGCTTCAAATGATAACGAACAAGTTGTGTCGATCATTTAAAGTAGTGAAACGTCTTCTCAACTTTTTGTACCCCATTGTTTTATTATGTGTGATAAAGGAAGAAACTGTTAATTATTGAAATCTTGAAGTCATTGCCGATGTTATAAATCTTTTTTAATTAAAAGACAAGAGAAAAGGTAAACTAATAAGAATCATACAAAAGTATTTTATTCATGTGTTACGTAATTCTACTGGGTGCTATATCAATATAAAGTCTATATACACTAAACGTATTTTAATAATTTGTGCAGCTATTAAACATTACGCATTCATACATAAATAACTCTCTTCGTGGCTATGTAGAATTTTTATAAGTTTTTATATTAAACCAGCTTTCTAACGAACGTACATCTGAATAATCCTAGGAATACATAGACAGTTATTTTGTGAAATTGCATTGATGATTTTAATATTAAACTAATAAATTCCGCTTTTCGTAAAATTTGTAAGTTTTTAGTGTGCAAAGAGAAATGAATTTTCAATAACACAAAATTTCCAAAAGTTAAGTTAGAAACGAAGGAGCATAATGAACAAATATACAAATACTGTAGAAAAATTCTAAAGAGTAAGTATAACTAACTAAATACATACTCTTATCAGTTTTATGTGATGCTACTGTATATTGTTATTGTATATATCAACATAGTAATATTAATATATATTACATATACACTATTATGCAGTAGCATTATATAGAATGTTTTTAGCAGTATAATAACTATAAGCAGTGTAATTTTATAATCTGATATCAATAACTAATTCAACTTACTCAACATTATATAAAACAATCTTCACCAAGTGTATTTGCAAACCTAAAAAGAAAAAAGAACAGACTATTTTCACTTGTTTTTTTTATACAAACAATATAGATGCCTTTTCAAAGCGACGATATCTGATAACTGCCCTTGATTTTACGGCTGAAAGAAAACGTTACTGTAATTGAGAAGTCTCATCGCATTGTTAGCAGTAAGTATCGTGTTTATGTGATGATTTTCCGAGTGTATTATTAGATGAAAACGATACAATGCAAACGTTGCTGTTCATGTCAACAGTTCAAGGTCATTAAACCAACTATGCACCCCTATTCAGCCTAATTAGCGAAGCTAAGTGAAAGAGATAAAAATTATTGAAATTAAATACTCAACTATTTTTGTCGAATATGAAAGTGCATGTATTTCATGATAGATGCGTCTGTTTGTTTCTGAAAATGGTGTACCAAAAACTGTTCATTTTAGAAGAAAATCATTTTGTGCACAATAAAAGACAGATTAAAGAAGCCACAAGCATATATTTTGAGTCACAAGCACTCAGTCGAATCAAAGCTTTCTTATAAGACGAAGAGAAACTCTCGTATAATATATTTACTGTACTGTGCGGGCCTTATACAGCATTAGTATTGTAAATAGTTATTAGATCGTAATGTAATCAAAATGACACTGGAATGTAGAAAGCTGCGATCAAATTTATTGTCACTGAACTGCCACTACCCGAACACAAAAAGTGAATTGGCAAGCTTCACGTCATTACTGTACCGAATGTATTCAGAATCTTTTTCATATGGAGTTCCATTTTACGACGAGTCGTATAATACTGTCGTAAATTGTATTGAAAACTTTTAGGAACGTTGCTGAATTCTAATCATCAGGGATATTAATAATTGTATTGTTCAATGCATGAGGGATTACATGGCTTTAACTATATGCAGTTAATAAGCTATTTAACAAGACATCACAATATCAATGTTAAATCCTGCATAAATTTTGTTTCAAGGATGAAAGATGTCTTGTGCTCTTGACAGTCTCTAAATATTTGAAATTCAATTAGAAGGAATGGCATTAATAGACACAAATGTAAATGGAAATACTAATATAATTACCATGGTGTTCTTCAGTCAGATAACTAAATATATAAATATACTTTGTTTCATAAATATATTCTTTTTCATAATAATCAATGACTTTTTCATTCATTAAGATTTACACTACAAATACTTAACAAACAAAACTGTGTTAGTATTTTATAATGATATGTTCATATTTTAATATTACCGGAAGAATACTAATGCTTTTGTACCAAAATGAGTGGAATAACTAAAGGGACTTAATTATTGAATTGTTTAATACTTTCGAGTAATGATAATTATTATTAAGAAATCTTTATTGTACTGCCATTATTGTGAATGATTTAAATAGTATTCAATGGATGGTCCTTGGAAACATTTTGTTATCGTTGATCAATTTAATTTAGCTGAATTCTGGTCTCAATATGTGGAAGGCTTATATAGTTTGTCTGTTACAAATGCACAAGTGCATGTAATTTAATTTTGTACACATCACTTGACAGTATAGGTATCGAATAAGTTTTCGATTGAAAGTTGTATTCTATGTAAATGAGACTGTCATTACAATTGTTCCGAGTATATGTGTATATGCTAAAGAACAGGAAAATTGAGTAAAAGGGATGCCTGTGTTGTTATGTTGATAAACTGGCTATGCAGAACTCGTCTGTTGTATGGTCCGCTCTGTACAAATGAGGGGACGCGTATCTTTATACAGTTATTACATAAATATGTACATTGAGGAACTTCATAAGTTATAGGAATATAAATTGTATATGTTATCATAGGTATGTAACACAATGTTAAGTGTATCAATTTCTTGTTAAAATGTCAGAGTAAAAATTATGCAAAATAAATCACGTACAAGAAAGGAAAAGCGTAATTGTTATCGGGTGTAAATACATTGTGATTGAATGTAATGGAAATATTATAAACCATTGAATGATTTATCTTTTGTTCATTAAAAATCGTTATCCCTGAAGTGGTTCTTGAAACATCAACATACATCTTTGAACATTGTATATTAGGATTATACATTATTGTATATTGTTGTCATGAGATCCTGCTACTTTTAATTCTAATAAATGATAGAAGTAATTAGTTCTAGACAAAGTTGCAAAGATGTCCAAATCAAGTGGTTGACTATGATGGTTAACTTCCTCATCGATTTTAAGGGGTTTCAAGATTTTCTCAGCTTCCCCCAATTATTTAACTGAATCCAAATTTTGCAGATTTGCAAATTGAAATTTTTGTTACGGCGTGTATCTTCTGTAGTATTCTGTACAAATAAAGAACATTTCCTTCCTCCCGACATCAACCCCGATTTCGTTCGAAGCTCGAAATGCCTGTAACGTATCGGCTACACGGCATAGATAGTGAAAGGGGTTGCAGTGGGATTAAAAAGAAGGAACTGGGTCACGTACGGTATTCTATGCCTCCTGGAACAGGTTCCGCGCGCAGAAGGTTCAATGGATTTATCTTTATTACGTGTGTGCGCGCGTGCGCGAGTACGATAGCTTGCAATACGATCATAATCACTGTACATAATCGCGAACACACCGGGCATTCAACGCCGTATCTTCAGCCGTATTTTTAATACAGGAATGTTTATCCGTGTCATGGTTCATTATTTCCCTTTACTAATTGCATTTTCGCAAGCCGAGCTTTTCAGTCTGAAAAAGCAGTATCTGTTCCCGTGTGAATTTTGCACAGCCCTACGATGCACACCAAAGAAAAACAGTGTTTCTATACATACTCTACATTCAACCTGTCAAATAAAAAAGAAAATATTAAGAAATTCCAAGGATTAGCAAAATAAAAATGCCAAAACCATAAGGGTACTATTGAATAACCCTATATAAAATCCCCTATTGTCTTCTTGTCTCTTGAACGTTGTAAGTTTTCAAATAATATATTAGGTGCACCAATATATTAATACCTGGGGAACCCTAATAAAGCAAATACTTCTTTGACGTCCATTATTGAATGTTTCTGTTTAAAATCACGGATTTGCATATAAACGCCCGCAGCCTATTTATTATCAAACAACTAAATCGTGTAAATACGTTTTTCAATCATTGTTTGACTGCGATCGCAGTCGTTGTTCCTTTGCGGAAAAATGTCTTCAATACAATCGTGAGAATCTTCTAATCCGATCAATTTGTTATCATTGCTCCAATTTAAGTAATAATTACGTACTACGCAGAGCCAATCGATCGTCTCAACTTGTTCGAAGCACAAACAAAGATTTCGGTTCGTTGCTGTCGCTTCCGGAAGTCGGATCGTTCGAGTTTCAATGGCGGAAGGGAGAAAAAACGTGCGACGCGTTCTCCATGTTTCCCGTTTCAGGAACATGGAGTTCGTAACAAATCAAATTGATCATTACCACCAATTAGGCGAAGGTAATTCAGAGAAAAAAAGTCGATTCCGTATTAAACAGCTTAGTTCCCTATACATTCAACTATGTGCACTGATTTATGTGCTGAACTTCTCAATAGAATCCGAATCTCATTTTATTTCTATCAATCCAAACGATCCTAATAATCCTATAATCCTAAGTGGACGCTTATTGTCACGGACCCAGTTCTTGATCAGAATCCAATTCTTGATCAGTTTAGCAAATAAATACCATGTAATAACTTTATTATAATGAAAGTTTTTTCCGAAAAAAATACTAAATAATTATTAACAATTATGAAATTTTTACGTAAAATTCAATAGCTCAGAGTGAGATACAAACATACGATTTACATGACCAGAAATTGCTCCCTCTGCCACTTCTTACTCGAAAAGTTAAATGATAATTCAATTGTATTACTACCTCTGCACTTTTTTTAATACCAAATTAAAGATAAAACATAGATTTATTCTAGTAACAACAATTCTTTTGGATTTGGTTAATTTTTCTAAATATACGTTAAAAAAAAACGGCGATTGTTACTCTTAATTGATCATTGAACTGGGTCCGTAGCGGTATCCACGATTTCACATAAATCGCAAATAATCGTCGGAAGACATAGACTTCGCGCGGTTTCATATAAGCTAGTAAATAACTGATCCGACACTAAAACCCGAAAGTGTCACCACAAAAAGAAAAAAAAAACGATCGAATCTAAGATACACGGTTTATCAGAACAATTTTCATAGTCCCGTTAGAATCACCTCGTCAAAGGGGAATTACCTGTCCTACTCTTTTCCGTTCCATCCTACCCCTTGTGTAGGCACCCAGGAACCCATTTCTAAATTTGCTCTTACAATTTCTTCTGTTCTAGTCTAGAGCAACACTTCGTATATTATCGGGAGGGAAAACTAAGAGTATCGGAAAAGTATGAAAGTAAAATTATCTACGTCCACCTAATCCGTCGTAATAGGGGTATTCCGATTGCTCAACAACCGTGAATATTTCGGTTGCCCAAACACAAGGGTTAAAACGTTCTCTGGCCGCCATTCGTTAGAAACAATTGACCAGGCGGCCGTGTTCAACGCTTTCGTTTAGCACCGTCTATCGTTTATTGAACACGTTCACGAACCAACCGGTGACTTTCATCGATTAGCGCTAAATTTAAACCGAGCTCATCTGCGCGCGGTCTTGCGAAGCCGAACTCTGTGGAGGGGCACGTACAGTGTTTTTATACAGAGACGGGGCAGTCTGTCAATCATGGTCGTCGGTTGACGGAACAATTTCATTTTCGGGGTCTATAAAACGGGCCGGTTGAACATCACGACGGAGGATCACGAGGGGAAGTCTAGCAGCGAGGCAACAGGCGAAGATGATCGACGCGATCCGCGCGGTCCGTTCAATGCCGTCTGCGGAGCACTGAATTCTACTCGGCACGGGAAAAGAGAGGGAGTACCTCACCGTGGTCGGTGGCTATATAGCCGGCTACAGAACCGATCGTTTCAGTTTCGAACTCTTCACCCCGGTATTTGCCCATTTTTTGTTTGTTCTTTCCAACCGGGTAACGACAGTCGATCCCGTCGCGGTCAGTTAGTTCGTTGTTCCACGATACTTCCGGATCCAAGACAGGGAAAGGGAGGAGGGGGGTGATGTCGACACCCGTGTAGGAGCGTAATCGTCCACGGGACGTGATACGGATCGTTGAAAGAATCGTCAGATAACAACCGTCTGTCAACATAAGCGTACCGATCGGTGAGGCGTCTGGAAGATTAGTGCAAAGCATTTTGTTTGCCCAGCCGAGATCGGGCATAGACACGATGCATTCGGTGTGGAATTGTTTAAAGGACATCGCGATTACGATATCGAGGCGAAAGTGATCGTGTCTAGTGGCGGTCTATATCCGTGAGCGCCGTAATTTAGCGTCAGAACGTTCTGGTCGGTTTTGGGATTTTTATTTTTCCGTGATCCAGTCCTTTTGTACGGAGATGCCGCCGCAGGAAAAATTCGGCACACCCGTTCATCTGGACAAGGCTTGCGATGATAAAGCGACAGCCTGTCAGAGTTCTTTGGGATCGGAGGTGCCACGATCGAACGGGAGCAACAAAGAAATGGATGACACGCGGGACATGGACTTCGACGAGTTGCTGCCCTACGTCGGTGAATTCGGTGTATATCAGAGGATCCTGTTTGTTCTGATGATACCGTTCGCCTCTTTCGTCGCCTGGGTGTACTTCTCGCAGATCTTCATCACCCTGATACCGGACGAGCATTGGTGCTGGGTGCCGGAACTCGAGGGTCTCGCCGTCGAGCAAAGGTACGTGGATTTACATTAATTTTTATCTTTTTTTTTGGGGGGAAATGTTCCCTGGTTCTTCTGACGCGATCTATGGGTGATTCTTCTGGTCTTATGGGCGAGTTATCGTGATTAGTAGATCGCGGATGTTTATGCTGTTATAGGGAAATGCGATAAAATTAAAGGTTTTAACCCTTTCCCACTGTTGCTATATGGCTACATAGCCATATAGAGTACGTACTCTAAATTACGAAATAAAATGTTGGTATTATGTATTTTTTTATATATGTATATGAGTATATAATAGTTTCTTATAGTCTTGTATAGGTAGTATGCCACAAAGTTGAATGTGCCGTTAAAAGCTTATTGGTAAAATAAAACATTACTGGTTCTTTCTGTCATTCATTTGATGGTTTACTAACTAATGATAATGAAAACCATCTTACGTTGGTCCATTGACCCACTAGTATTGCTCTCTACACTGAAAAGTACGAAATAAAAAAATTTGGCCCGACTTCGAAACGCGTTAAAAAGTAGAAAACAATTTCTATTTTTATTATTTATACAGAAATGCATCGACGGTTAAGAAAACTTATTTTCTCTTAATGGTGGCGCGAAAATAGATAATATTTTTTACATTTTAGCGTGTTCCGAAGTTGGTCCAAATTTTTTGAAAAAATTTTGTTCAAATTCTTAGATATTAGTATCAGAAATTCTAAATTTTCATAAACTTTCGCAGTCTAGTGATTACTGTCGCAGTAAAATGTAGGAATCATTGGGATAATAACAAATTGAGCTCGAATGACAAGCACGTCTTACCCGGTTGGAGAGGTCAATATTCAGACAGTAGAATGGGATATAAAGTAATCTGGAATGATCGATTAAAATATAGTTTTCGTAGTATGACTCGAAAGTACGCTGGTCACAGAACTCTACACGAGTCCCTGAGCAATCGAACGCGGAAATATGTCGTCGTTAAGAGCAGCAATTTTGCACCGCTGCTCGTTCAGTAATACCCATCCATAGGTTAAAAAGAGGCATTAAAAGTTGTTCCACTTTGCTATCTCTGTTAATGGTAAGAGCATCAATTGGCCTGAACCGCGAGTTTAGTGGTTTTCGTTTAATCTCAAGTTGTTTCTGACGTCAGTCGCAGGTATCATCGTTCGTGTTTGAATTACTTTACAATATCTCTTTTCATGTCTTGCCATTCTTCTGGACGATAGGTAAAATATCCACGTGGCTTCAGTATTCCACTCTAAAGAAAAGATATTTCGTATAGGGGGTGTTTTCCACCCAACGTAAGTACCTCAAATTTCTCACTTATTTTTGATTTTCCAAAAAATTATTTTAACAAATGCTCAAAGTGATGTCCATTAAGCTCGACACATTTTTTCGCTAATCCCTCTATCCTAGTTGCGTTATTATTTACATCTATTTCCTTATGCTTGTGGATTTTTCGTACTCAAGGTAAAATGAAGGTCACACTATTATAGGTCATTGGATTGGCCTTGACCTCGACTGTTACGTCACGTTGATAAAAATATGTAGTCGTATTAAAAAAAAACACCGATGACCTAAAAAACTCGACAAAGATGACTTTGAGAAACATTTTTTCTTTATTATAGTATTTGCCCCTTCCAGCCGAATAACTTTTCATTCTTTTTCGAATCTTTAAAAGTAAGGGAGGTTATTGAAAGTGATCAGGTTAGGTGAGACACCCTGTATACATATACAACAATTTGGAATACACAGTATTCACGACGTGTTTTCCCATACGAAAGGTTCTTTTGTCTTCGGCTATTAATTATCTGCCCGTGTACAAGCTTGTTAGGCATTCATCGGACCGCGTGGAAAACTGTGATTCATACCGTCAATTATTACGGTATTTGCGTGTCCCACGTGCGCTATGCAGAAATTTTTTAGACGGCTAGACGTTGAACGTCAATCGAACGTGTGTTCCTCCGATGAATCAACGGCCAACTTTTCTTTTCTTTTTTTTTTCGTACAACATAAGAAGTTTGTTTCGAAGAACAATAATTGTAGTGGAGGTAAACGTCCACAGAAGAAAATAAAAATTATCATAATTCTACTAACAAAGGAACTTCCGCACCCCGACAATTCCGATTTTTTTTTAAACTCCGTAATGTGTGTAACTGTGTAAAAATATTATTAAAAAAATAAATAAACGAATTGTCAACAGTTTCATTACACACGTTTACAGAGCATAAAAATCCATTAAATGTTCAGTCCAATAATTATTTCGATATGTACTGTAGTTTTCAAGATATAGAGGAAAATAGAAAAATATACATTAACCTTTAAGGGGTGGTTTCACCCTGACGGCCCGAATTGTCAGCAAAAACGAAAAATTGCTGGATGTTCTATTGAGGTTACCTAGAAACCTGCGAAACGAATTATATGATTGTTTATTAAATCCATTTTAAAATCGTCAATACGTCTGTGACTCGATGTTGTAAGGTAAGGCAAGGGGTTAATACGTTACTTTCATTACCTTTTTGGAGAATAATATTCCACTTTCGTTAGTTATCAGACCTAGTCCCATACTTTTGGTCGTTCGTATATCTGTTATACATAGCAGATGAGGTGTTACCTCAGGAAATCGATCTTCCGAAAAATCAACTCAGAATCGAACATCCCTACTCGGGCGCCATTTTGTGAATCCGACCCCTAGCGGTAATGCCGTGAACGTTCCCAATTTAAACGGCGGGGGCCGATTCGACCTGAAAATGTTGTCAACGGTGAATGTCATTGGCGTGCAATTTACACAAAATTCCAGTTCTTTCCACACACAGCGTTGTTTCGTCGATGTTTCGCGAAAAAATTAACGTCGTTCCCGTTAATGGGCTGTTTCATTGAAACCGAGAGCGCGGCGATAATTCATATTATGCAACGCGAGCGCGCATGCGCGTGGAGTTTCGAGGGAAAACAGGAACGAAAGGGAAACGAAACGGGACGGTTCGTAACGAGTCGACGTATGCACACCCAGGGACTTAAACCGGTATGATCTTGATACCGGTATTATACCATCAAAGCTATACCGAACCTAATATATTACCGAAAACTGAAATAAATACCGGTATTTTTTCGGTTTCTATAAGGGTAGGGCTTATATAAGGTTATATAGGGCGAAGGTTCAAACGAAAATATCGATATAATACCGGTATTTTACGTTTCGGTCGAAGTACCTGTGCACACCACGACATCGACAAAACGTGTTTTATTGGACACCTACACAGGTCAAGGTGTTACATTATTTGAACAACACCAAGGTCGTTAACCCGTGTTGCAAGATCGAAGGTGCAATCTGCTTGCACCCGTGGGTTTTCGTCATCGTGGTTTCCACACGTTTCCCCAGATACCTAGTCGCCGCCATCAAATGTCCGTTTTTGCCGATCTTTCTTGCCCCGTTTTGGGGACAATGCGATCGGCCCCGATACCTACGCTCTTCGCTCCGAATCGACCGTCGAACGATCTTGCCGTTTCTGTCGTTGGGAAACCGTTCCGCCGCGGTGTTGAGTTTCAGAGAGAATTCGCTTTCAGGGCAATCGTTACGGTCGGTGGACGAAATTGTTTATGTCCGATTCTGGAGAAATGCACCGAACACATTCCATTTGAGTTACAGGAAGTTCGTTCGGTGTACCGAGCTTCGGACATTCTCGTAGTTTGAGTTTCAGAGTACTTTGGGGCTTCGAATATTTTGGGGACGTTAGGAGACGTGGAAAATTAACCGGGTTGAGTATCAGGCGAGAATTATTTTTTGATGGTCTTTTCTCGGTGTTTTATATTAATTAATCTCATTTGTTTGGGTTGTTCGGCTGGTGAAATATGTAAATGGGTGTTTGTATGTAGTTACTGTATAACGGAATACCTATAGGCACCGTAGGCACAGGTAAATTTGAAAGTCCTGGGCCGACCCAGTTCACCTGGTTTAGACTAGTTTCGAAGGTATGTAAATATCTTTTCACGGAAAGAATATAATATTTATTTGTTTCGTGTTCAATCCAGCTAAACACTCGAAATATCACTGTTAACACTTTTTGAAGGGTTTGGTAAGTTTAGTGCTAACAATTTTATTCCCTTTAGGTACCTACTATATGGGATGTCTCAGGTCGGGTAGTATATCCGGCTAGGAGGTGTTTCTACAAGAAAAGATAAGCTGAAAAAAAGAACTTTTCGAGATAATCGAACTAGAAAATTTGTTAGATTCACGGGCAA